ACACTATCTTGCCTCAAGCAAGGTGGGTAAAGTCATTAGATGATTTCGCGCCTTCAAAAAAGAAAATACGCAGTGTCGTGAACAAATGCGTGTGAACATGTGCGACGCCCCTAAGGTGAGGAAGTACCTCACCTTAGGGGTAAGTAAGTAACGTATACAAATGTATGTACCGACGTATATTAGGTGTATATTAGCTATTTGTATTTAATAGCTTTATTGAGGGCAAATATGAGGTACCTTGGTACCCAGGTAAGTGTATAATCATAATAATAGGCAAGTTACTAAATAAGATAGGTTCTACAATGACGAAAAAAAAAACACAAGGTAAAAAAACGTGTATTGCAACGTAAATCAATAAAATCTAGGTACATATTTTTATGAAATAGATACCTACTGTGAGCGTAAAAATACATATTATAGGTATAATAAAAGGACTGACAACTGAGTCAGTCTTTTACTTTAGCAAAATGTTTCCAAAAAAAACAGTATAAAGCACATTTTTATTGTTAGTATAAGTACCTATACCTAGTAGCCGTACCTACTAAACACAATAGAAAATAAAGCCACAAAGCTTTGTTGTAAAATATGTTTGGTTACCACCAAACAAAGATACCTACTTAAATCTATATACATAGGTATAAATGAATTGTTGTTCATCAGTCTTGCAGTCTCGCTGAATTTCCAAAACGGCTGGGCCGATTTGGCCAATTTTGGTCTTAAGTAAAACATTTATGGAAGTTCAGGGAAGATATGACCCAGTCAGGAGACTGAGTATGATAAAAATATCGATTGACACAGTACAAAGTACGCCGGGTCAGCTGGTACTAAAATAATACTTTATTTCCCTTTTTTCTCCTTTGCTTTCTCCAATTCTTGATTATAAATATACCATCTGCTCAACTGGTAAAAACTTGTCGTAGCAACAAATAAATTGATACAACATAGAGGATAGTTTTTTGGTGTGATTATCGTACACCATCGTGCCCAAATGACACCGGTGACGCCAAGACTGAGGCACTGACGGACAGATATTGTTTCAGGCGGTCTGGTTAAGTCACCAATGCCAGCTAATACTAGAGTCTGAAAGTAATAAGAAGCTTATATTTGTATTCTTAGAAATCGGATCTTCTTTTTTATGGGATACAAGGCAAATGAACAGACGGATCTCCTGATGGACCGCCCATGGACATCACAACATCAGATCAGTTATAGGCGTTGCCGGTCTTTTGGAACGGAGTACATTCTTTTCATGAAGGTCGTATCGGTCGTGCCTCTTCTGGACAACTGTTAAAATTACTTGCATCAAGTTCTGTGACTCTTCAGGTATGGTATGGGTAGGTACTGTTCTAATTGTAGTCTGCTCTTGGCGTCCTGGCGTTAATAATGAAAATCTAATGGGGACAATGCCCAGAATTTCTTATTTCTATCAGCTAGGTTCTAGTGGATATTCCAAAGTTTACTTACGAATTTGCCAAGCGGTGCCCAAAAGAATATAGTCTTAGGACCTAAAACGAAGAAATTCGATCTGTGTACCTAATTGTATCTACTCGCAAACAAAACCGTTGGGTAAAGAATTACCTTAAATAAAGTCTACCTACCTATAGGATGGTTCCACAACGGCAATAAAGAGTTTGGCACTAATGGCTCTATGGTACTAATAATTTTCTTGTATAGCCGTGACATTTTTTGTTTTTTATTAGGTATTTATTTAAGATGAATACCTATCATTCATCATTTTATCACGATAATTAATTTATCAAAAAAATGGTAACTCTGCTTACAACATTGACTGTTGTTGATGATTGACATAATTTCATAGACTTTTTTACTTTTCGGTTATTGTCTCTTCACGTCGGAGAGTATTTAAGAAAAAAGTTTTAGTACCTACTGACTTAGGCACATTTTCTATAAAGAGTACTGAGTGGGTATTTTCCCTCTTATAACCAATTCTATATACCGACGGTTGAAAGGCTAATTGATCTAAGCGACATTTTTTGTGATATTGTTAAATATCTACATCACGGCGAAGGAAAATTCGCTGATTTCGAATATGTATTTAACTCAATTTCGCAAAAAAATGTCGCTTAGATCAATAGCCTTTCAACCGTTGAATTACAATTCTAAAACGACACTGCAAAGCACAACGAAACTAATACTAGTAAGCGACGAACGGCTTTCTAGAGAACACTTTATTGACGATTTACTTCTGGCATCTACTTCGCCCGCATTGTCGGGATAAAAATTACTTACATGTGTTATTTCAGATGAATCTATCAATATATTCTATATATATTTAGCTGCTAACACAGTGTAAATAAACGCATTTTCTTTCTGTCTTTTTTCTTTAGCTCTATACCGTACATCCAAATCAACTCAATCGTTTTTTTAGGCATACTCAGTTTTGGTAGATACTGTCAATATTATCACTAATCCAATACCTAGGATCTCCACTCCATCAATGGATGCAAAAGTGAACCCAAAACATTGCATTGAGGCACACGGTATTTGAATAGTCGACTGTCGACACCTTCTTTAATATATCTGTGGTCGACACCGTAATCGATAAAAATGTTGCACCGAAACAAGCAGCGTGCATGTTCTGTGTCAGCTGGCATAACATAACATAACATCACGCCTTTTATCTCCGAAGGGGTAGGCGGAGGTGCACATTATGCCACTGTACAATGTAACACCCACTTTTCACTATTTTATTATGAGTCCCATGTAATAGGGGGTGAGCCTATTGCCATATTGTCAGCTGGCAATATTGCACAATTATGTCTACCATCTAATTATCTATTACGGAAAAAAATTTTATTACCAAATCTGAAATATGTATGAGTATGTACATTCAACTGTCTTCTATCTGTAAGTAGGTATTCGTACTGGAGTCTTCCGATTCTATTTCCTTATCAGGTACAATCCAGACATCAAGTCTCAAGTTTAGGAATTTATTGATTGTAGAAGCATGTCTTAAGCCACCAACATAAGGTCCTGTCTTGCACATGCTGAACTGGTCAACAACTTGTATCCATCAGTATTAATAGAATAACACATCTGGACATATCTCTTGTTTTTGGTGTGAAATAAAGTTTTTTCTTTCTTTCTTCTCTTTTTATCAAACACGAAGAATCGCATAATCCCAAAGTACGTTTTCTATCAAATTTCTTTGTTCCATTTTTAACTTCATCGTATTAATATAAAGTCCAAAATCCAATTGTAGATATCCACATGTTATATTCCCAATCACAATTGGGTAAAAATAGGTACATTACCACTCCATTATGTATGTGCATTGTATATACTTGTGTATACTTATTAAGAGTTACACTCATGTATTGTTACACAAATTGGACGAGATAACGCGTAATTAAGTGCCTTTATCAGTAATTTTGATAGTTCAAGGGCCGTAGTATTGCCGTATCAAAATATTCAGCGCCAAACACGCATTTCATAAAACAGCATAATTAATGCAGCCTTTTAGTTTTAATAAGTATACTTAACCTAAATGAGATTGACAAGAGAAGTAGTTAAATCTTTCACCAGTAAGTTGTCTTATTCAATGAGTAAAACAAATCAAGTTTCGCGCAGATAAAACGAATATTGTTTCGTGACGTAAATTCTATACTGCAAGTAGCATTGAAATAACAAATACGGTTATAAAACTAATCTAAGGACACTATTTCATTAGGAAACCATGATTGCACAAACAGTAACAGTGGCGCCATTGTCCGCCATCTTGGAATCTGTGTTAAAGGGAAAGACCGAAATGATAATCAGACTTGATTTGGTCGTCGTCGTTTTACGGCTACACATCGAGCTTTACATAACCAGTGTAAACTGAACGGTATATGTGCGGAAAGATGATGCGACGCGACACCAGTGTAAACTGGTTTTGTATAGATTCATGTGTGGCCGTGTGTAGTGTGTACTGACACCAAGTGACGTACACAATTTATTGTTTGCTCTACACTTGGGAACGCAACCAAGGGAGCCACTAGCGTTATTTTTTCATTTTATCGAATCCTCTATAACTCAAAAAGAACCTTTTACAACCAAATGCTATAATTTTTAAGGTAGGTAAATAAATTGTCTTAACGACATGTGTTACCAATTAATAAAATACTTGTATGTACCAGAAAATTTATATCAAGAAATTAAACAAGATAAAACGCTATTGGCTCCGTTTCTTTGCTCTCGAGTGTAGTTGTATGACCATAATGTCCTAATAAAATAAACCCCTTAGAATTTACACTTAACACTAAGTTAGTAAAGACGACAGAAACAAATTAGTAATAAGAAAGTAAATAGAAACAAGAAATATTATGAAATATATATTTCCATACTCCAAAAGTAAAAGGTTTTACAAAAATAGACAAAAATCATTTACAAAATATATGATTTAATAACGCCATGTTACAACATAGGACAGTGATACAACAATACTAACTTTGTTTGGTTAACATCAACCACATTTCGTTTTATATCACAGTTAAGAAAATGGTTTAATCAAACTCTAGCACCTATACATCTTCATTTAGATAAGGTAACAGACAGTATGTATTTTGTCACAGAGCAAAACGTTACTAGATTCTATTAAAAATTGGCAACACCATTTTGGATTCTTACGCTGTAACAAATAATTTTGGGCGTAATTTTTCTTTTTCATTGTGGCGGATCCAGAAAATTAGAGGGCATGGGCTTATAAAATAATGCGAGCTTTTTCATCAATTAAATCGTATACCAAAATCGTTAGCAGAACATTCAATTTGTTTTATAAAAATCATGCAACTAACAGGCAGTGTCTTCCCAAAGCCATTTTTCAAAGTCCCGCCTAAACCTGTATCCGCCATCGACTGTAACACCATCTAGTGGCACAAGAATCAACCTTTTTTTTAGTTTTTTTTTACGCATCTAGCTATAATGCAGTCACAAAATAGTTACAGAATTTAAGGCCCGATTCGAAATTTGAAAATATAATGTATAATGGTTGTTAAGTAACTTCTCTCAAGTTACATTATTTAAATGTAACTGTTACAAGTCGCCAACCATTTTGAACGTAACGATTTTTACTACTGCATTCTGTAACTGCTTAAACATTACTGCAAAAATCTTATACAACCACATTTATATTAAAATTGTGCTTACTATCTTTAATCGTAATCTAAAAATCAATAATCTTATTCTACAATCTACAATCCCCCTACTAAAATATAATCAATAAATAATTTTATGATAGTCATTAATACCCATCTCTATAAGTGCAATTGCACTGCTATTATTAACAATAAAAAATTGTCAATGTTTTAGAAGACTATCATAGAATAAAAAGCATTCATTTATTCACTTAGAAACTAGGATTACTATTCAAGCTACAGGTTAAAAGTAACATCCCGTAACTATCGACCAAACCAAATTCCTAAAGTGATTTTGTTTCTACAAATATATGGAAACAGATTAAATAATCACTGTTCTTCTTTCTGTGCTCCTTTTTGTGCTTCCAATTCTGAGTGGTGCTTGTAAGCTCTGATTAATTGGTACGAACTCGTTAACGCTACAAACACATTTACAGCAAAAAGACTGTAGTTTTTAGGTATTATAACTAAAGAGTATCGTGACCAGACCAAGCCCGTGGCCGCTAGGGACGCGGACTGGCGGATAGACAAGTTCTCGACTGGCCGTGTCAAGTCACCCAACCCAGCTATCACCAAACCCTGAAAGTGATAATGAAGTGATGAGTCAAGGCCATTCACTTTGTTGTGAATATAACTGACTTCTGTTTTAAACAGTTTCTTGGACCACTTGATACATAGTGGCCAAATTTTAACAATACAATGCAATTTAAACCTTATTGCAATATAATAAAGTCACATTATGGTTTGTTTTATGATTTGCATGTTATATTTTCCCATTTTAGGTAATTAGTTTTTATGGAGGTGACTTTATGTCTCCAATTTAATGTGTGTTTACTATGTAAGTATTAGTTTCACACATAATCATGCTCCAATAAGAAGTCAGTTATATTCAGACGGACCAATAACCAAATGAATGAAGTATTAGAATGAATACATTTTCACAATCACAAAAGAGGTTAAATTAGAAGTAAGTAAGAAACCTCATGAAGTACAATGGAACAAGTTATCAACACCGAACATAATACATTATGCAATAAATCCTTATTATACAGGTGGTTTATTGAAGTATTATTAGGTAGTTATAATCCTGTTATTAACCTTTTGAACGCCAGAGCAAAAACGCATGAACTTGCCCTCAACGCCAGGCCACAAATTCACCGCAAATACCTACGAAAAAAAAAGGGATTCCAAAACTTCATCGATAATCAATTTTATTTTCATTTTCGTCTTTAATTTCGAAATATAATGTCCTTATAACATTGAAATTTAATTCAACATTACATTTCTTCCTATTAAAGTAATAGTTATACACTATTTACAGACTTGTATAATGCCGTAATAACAGATATGAGACTACAATATATTTAAATATAATAACTGTAGGTACAACACTATTCTTGATCTGCTGTCTTCATATTGTGACCATGGCGTGGACGGTCCGCCATTTTAATAACTACTTCGCTTCCGAAATAAGGATGTGGCAACGTAATATCTCGTTTATCGATGTTCTAGTACAATATTATTTTATAATAAATGAAACACGTTTTTTAAATCAGATTTATAATTCCGAATGTAACAGGTACTTAAAAATATATGATTGAAATAGGTTAAGAAGGTAAATAAAAACTATGAAAAAATAGAAAATTTTAATAAATGTCAGTATGTAAGTACTATGTATACATGTTTTTAAATATTAAGTTCTATAAACCTGGCATAAAAAGTAACAAATTAAAACAATTAACGATTATATATATTATCAATTACCAATCAGTCTTATACTAATAAATCTTTTGAATAATAGAACAAAATTATAGATTCTGTTTCCGAAAATTCTTCGTCATCTGAGACTCCTTCTAATATGCGAAGAAGTTCTTCCGTAGTCATTAAATTCCCACTCATTATAATAGTCACTTAATATAAATCTTGAACTCGATATCACAAGTAAATTAATCATAAATATTATTCATTCACTTCACTAATTTCTGGTCGCCGCGCTTGTGACGTCACGATATTGTCGTCTAGTCGTGACCATGGCGTACAGGGTACTGATAATTCGGGTTGCGTTAGGGATGCGCTTGAGTTGGGATTAGTGAATATCGAAATTCGACCCAACCAAATTTTATTTTTGACTATGTAGCTTATTGAATGATTTTTAAGACTGGTTTTATAAAATTAATGCTGCTTTATCCTAGTACCAAATTATACCTAAAATATATATTCCAGAGGAAAGTTTCGAATCGATCTTTGATTTGAAATAATGATATTATCCAACATGCGCTACATCACTAGCGGTCACGCAGTTATGACTCTGGCGTGTGAGGACATTCTTTTTTCAGAGTTTATTTCTTTCTTTTTAACGTAAAATTTCTCAATATTTATAATGCAATTTAATTAGTTTTATGGAAATAAATAAATTTTGGACCTTCTATTTTACAGGTATATAAATAAATAGGCATTAAAGTAATGTTTAAATAGTTTATTTCGTGTTTTAATGTACCGCTGTTTTTGTCACATATTTGTGTCGTTGGCGCTCAGGGACAGTTTTCGCTTGTCACGTATTTGTGACCCTGGCGCTCAAAAGGTTAATAAACCACCCTATACATTCACAGTAAAAAAAAACAATTATCATGAATGCTTGTTGATTAAATATTTATTTTTTAGAATTGCAGTTCACCTTGCAATACTAGGCCAACATTTTCCTGGTTTATTTATCATAGGCCTTGTTGTTACCTCTTTTGATTATGTACCTGTGAGTCTGACTGGTAAATTTAACTCATAACATACTATTTCTCTTATTTTCTTAAAAGATTTAGGAAAATTGTAGGTCAAGTCTACCTGTTATCATAATTATTAAACCTAGTAATTTATGAGACCCATAGCCATATTTTAAAACCCTTAAAATAAATGTCATAATGTCTTTGCATGCATTCAAACTATGATTTCACAATGTTATAAGTCTTATCATGTTATCTGTGAAAACATGCATGAACTTGGATATTATCTATGGCAATAAATTTTTCTTTTATCTATCAACTGTCTAGTCTAGAGCCAATGTTGTTAAAAAATTAGTTGCAACTTTATGTAATCATTTTGTTTTTATTATTTTTGATAAACTTGTTAAAATCAAAGTGTGCCAAAATGAAAATTTTGTCATGCAAATGTATAAATAAGTAATTAATGCACATAATAGATTTTCATTGTAATGAGGAAATTAATTCATTGGAACGGATAAAACATGTTTAGACTTAACATTAAACCTCTAATTGTTCACTTTTCTTATTTTCTAAATAAGTACCTAAACATTTTCATTTGGTAGTTGTTTGTTTTTTTTGCTAAATGCTAATATTAAGGGACAGCAATTAGCAAACCTGGTCAATATTCCTATCATTTATATTAAAATTGATATATCTGCGCAACAAATTTGCCCTTACGCAAGGTCTTTTCAGTATAAATAGTATGACCTTGATTCTACGTCCGCATTACTTACCCATTTGCATGCAGGCGCCCAGAAGAATATTGTTTTTGGTCCTGAAATTAAAAAACCCAGTGTAAACAAACCTCTTATTACATCAAATAGATGTTATAGATCATATTCATAATTACCAGCTGGATGTTCCCACATTGGACGCATGGCACCAGGGACAAATCTGTCCGCAACGCCGACAATCATCTTGTATACTTTTGACATTTTTGCGGAATTTTCAATTTAAGATAAAGGTCAAAATGTTCCACGTAGGACACGGGACGGCCGAAATTGGAAAGGGAGATAGTTACGGTGTTACTTTGGTTAACTAAATTTACATGGCACCACCAATAACAGCAGCCAACTAAGGCAACGTAGTGCTCTAAAAATGTTCGTCCGTTCCGTTTGATAAGATAACATGAACGTCAGGGAGTGTCAAACAAAATTACAACGTCAAAGTCAGCGTAAACACAACTGTCATTTTAACCAAACAATGTGACCAATGTGGAATGGAAATGCCCTTAGAGTAGGTATGTATCCTGCTGAGTGTATGAGTACTACTTTTTCAGGTCATTAAGTGGAGTTATAGTGCGAATAATATTAATCAAGAATACAATTTTATTTTTTCAAAATTATTTACGGAATGATGCATTTTTTACTCTATAAGTAAACGTTGCGTTCAGAATATTTTTATGTAAATTCATAGATATTGTCTCCTAGGCTCCACGAAATTATTAATTATTAAAACCAACTAGGCACCATTATTACGAAAACACAGACTAGGTATGTTTTGTAATGATGAAAAATATTTATAAATTCGTAACATATTATTTTTGTTTGTATTAAATATGAACGCAACTTATTTTTTTTTTACAAACAAACATGGGTGCGGATGTGCGTGTGATAATATGTGTCAACGCTCAAGAATTTCTGTTTCTTTGTTTATTTTAACTTGATCTTATTTTAATATTCTACTTCTTTGAACTTTTGTTTATATTAAGTGTTGTGGACGTCTACTGACTTATGTTTTGTGTGGTTTAAATTTCGTTACTAATATGGGTACGAGCACAATGGGAAGCGATTTGCATTCTGATAAGCAGGACAAATTGCTCAAGCTGCAAGCTCGAAAGAAGGAATTAGAGCAGCTCCTGGCAGCAAAAAACGAGGAGCTATATAAATTATGTGTTCAAGAAGTGCAGTTAACTGGCATTATGCCCCCAGAAGCGCCCCTAAGCCCCGAAGTGCCTCAAAGAGAAAGATTAGGAAGTGTCAAAAGTGTTGATAGGTCAACAGACGGTGCGGACGTACAAGATGGGTCTGATAACTCATCGAGACGCCTCAGAGCCGCCACAGGTGACCGTTCGATGGAGACAGACGCAAACTTGCGTAAAAATCTATCTCACAGATTATCTACACCATCGATATCGGGTATTTCAACTAAAAGCGCACATTCAAGACATGTTCGACGTCCTGAAACTAGTTGTTCTAACTTTTTTCCTTCACCTCCACAAGAGAGGAACACAGATACATTTTCTATACATACTTCTCATACATACCCAGCACTGGCTGGTCGACATGAAGCAATGAATGAGAACCTTCAGAACGACATGCAACCAGGCACTATGTACAGACACCATACCATGACAACTGACTATATGAACAAAATTTACTATAACAATACTCCAGAGGCTCATAATGTATCTAAATTACGAGAAACTCATTTCAGTTCTAGCCATCCCGATATAACTACACATTATACTCATGGAAGTATAGCACCACAACCAGTACAAAATGGGATGCGCAACACACCACTACTATACCAGTATGCATCACATTTGAAAGCCCAGAGCCAACACTTGACAGGATTAGCTCACCAGCATCAATGCAGCAATCTAAACGCCGCACAGATGGTGCTCGGAGAAATACTTTACAGAGAACCCAGACTTACCATTTAACCTCACACAGTGAATATAACCAGTTGCACTTAGAAAATATGAAGCATGAACCACCAATGCTTGTGTATCAGCATCGATCACAGCCTGATATACAGGAACAGCACCATCTGCCCATAGAAAGAACTGTAGTAGTACCAAACACACTTCCTCTACGAGAACATAATGCTATCAAACATCCTATGCACATGCAGCTTCAAGTGTCCACTGATGACTATATGAGAGAAGACAGACGACACTACCCAGACCAGTTGACCCCAGTTAGTACAAAATCTATAATTATGATCCAATGGGCATGAAGTTCTCGCCACTGTCGCAGGCAGACATGAAAGTTAAAGAGAAACAGTGGTATGAGACATCATTGGACTCCCCAACGAAACCTGAAGCACCTCTTCTGAAAAAGAGCTCTAGCTTAAAGCGGACTTCAAGTGTTGGGAACTCGCAGGCTTATGAAATCATGATCTCCACTGGCCGACACTCTGCCATGCAAAGTCCTAATCAAATTCCACAAAGTCCACCAGTTTTATCTCCTGGAGCAGTTTCTTTAGAATCTCCAAAGAACCTTACAGTGATTGAACAAGGGAAATGTATACCATACAGAGAAGAGACTAAACCTTTTGAAATGTCTGATTTTTACAAATATTCTACAAAGTTCAGACAAAATAATGTTCAAAAAAGTGCCCCAAATAATCCAGGGCCAAGTTTAAATTCAGGGTATAACAAGTTGCCTATGGAGTTGCCACAATATGCTCAAGACCATTGGCATGGACAAACAAATTGAATATTTTTCTAAATAATGTGTAAATTGTAATGTTAGACTAATATCTATTAACTTATTCGACTGGAATTGGTGTGAGAATTTATAATAGTTTTATAAAACTTAGCTCATAATATGGTACTTATAACTGTTATCTTCATATTTAAAGTGGGAAAATAATGTCTGTTTGTTGGAATTAATCATTAATATTGTGTGAAACACAAACAAAAGCGAGAAAAAATAAAATAAACTATATAGATCTATTTTACTAGATTATTGTGATGAAATGACAATGATGACGGACCCAGAATTTACAATATTGATAAGATTATCGCTGTGATAACAATGTGCAAATTGTTCATATGTATTGTGACAATAATGACACTGCATAATAAATCATGTGGTGTTTTGACATCTGAATGTTATATTTGTAGAAATATGAGAATCGTGACTAACTATGATCCTGATCTCGTTTGATTGCCGTTTGACTTAGTTACAAGTACAAGCCCTTAGTATTACCACTTGTTGCAATTTGCCGTAATTTTTAAGTATTTTCATTGCTTTGCCCACCGCTTCTAGGTTACAAACTCAAATTTCATTTAACATGGCCGCTTTTGTGATAATAACTACTTAGGAATAATAATTTCAAGATTAAATTTTCTGTGTAAATGTTAAAAAAGTGGAATTTGAAATTTAAACCTTGAAAATTTTTGATGATGATGTTGATCAATGCATAAGATAATAATTGTTAACTGTTTTTCTATACACTTAAAGACTTATTAACTTGCCAAGCAATATTTAGACTTATTGCCAATGTCTTCGTCCAGTAACAAAAACTATTTGGTAGCTAATTTCACTAAAACATTTGTAAATATAATTTAGTATTTAGTATAGTGTTTAGCAAGTCAACAGTGAGAGCACTGATCATTTTAAAAATATTTTTATAAAGTGCCTATGCGAGCATCTTGTGCATATAGCACACTCTATGTAGATCTTATATAAAATAAAGTTTTATAGCAAATATTGTATTTTATTTTATTCTGGTAATTTTGTAAACTGGCCCAGGTACTAGGCTTTTCTCCCGTGTCATGGCATAGGTATGAAATAACAATTTTGCAGTTCTATGCGGGTATCGAACTCAACACGTTGCACACCAACCGGCGACTTTGGTTAAGTGGCCGGTTCCGCCAACCGTGCAGTCAAATTCAAATTGTTACAGAAAATGAATAAATGATATTACGATGTTAAAACATAAATAAGATGTATGCCAAGATCGTTAGCTATTTTATTATTATCATGGCGACATAATAGTTGGAATCTGAATTACGTATGGAATTTACAAAAGGATTAAGAAAGTGAACAAGAATTCTTATAAGAATGTGATGGTGTGTCCATTCTATATCTCTACATTCCGCGCTACTCGTTTGCATTCTATGAAGCGCGGGCGACGCGTTTATGGATGACAAATTTTTCGGGTGGAGTTCGTTAGATGCTCGCACCTATATTGACATTTTTGTTAATTTAAAAACTACAATTTTTAACCCGTCGAGCGTCCTTATGAGCACCCGGTGGGTCATAAGAAAAAATGCTCCATGCTGCTTTCTCTTTTATAAAATCTATTATTAATCTTTTGTTTTTATTTTGACTGTATTTGTTTTATTTCTATTGTAATTATCCTTGTTTTCGTGTGCCAATGGCCAAATAAATGCATTTTCTTGCATGCATAAGGATAAGGAAATGCATAAGGAACACGAACGCTCAACGGGTTAAAAGCAATACCTACCTAATTGTAAAATATGTAGGTACCTGACCTAGATATATTTAGGTTTTCGAATTAATGTGGAGTCTAAGATTGTAGGTAGTGTAAAAAATAAACCAATAGATGATTTTGTAATACAGTTTATTGAAGCATAATAAATTATTATTACAAGTGATGAGAGGAGTTAACCCTTGACCATAAGCCTCTAAGGAACAAATAAAACAAAACGACACTAATAAAATAATCAAAATAAGTACAAAACTAAGAAAATATTAGCGAGCAATGTGTTCTAGGAACTTCTACACGTGGTGTCCGGATTTCTTCAGCTTTTCTAGCAGACTGTGCAAAGATCTTTTGCCAGGATTAAATCCGCCATTCAGGTAATCGTCGTCGTTGCCTGAAATTAGTAGTAAATAGTTATAACTAGGTACAAAGAGAAGTTGTCTTATCTAAGTAGGTACCTAAAGTTATCTTTAGTAATTTATTACCTACGTAGACAAAATACCTAGGTAGTTAGATCATCGACGTCTTACCCACTAGGGTACACCTGGTACTAACCAAAGGCGTAGCTAGCGCCGTATCTGCCGTATCAATTAGATGGGGCCCCCAGACTATGGGAGCCCGTGTGTAAGCAAAAATATAAAAACTTCTCAATTTATATTTTATTTCAGTAATCACAAAATGCATGCGTTCAAAGGTTGGCAGAAATCATGAAATAGAAAAATCTATTCCATGGCAGAAACTTTGGAAAAACTGAAGTAGGTAACGTACCTAATTATTGTCCGATAATTTGGGCCGAGGAGGTACCTATGTATGTATGGTATGTAAAAAAAACTGAGAAATTTTTACCTTTCATAAGGGTCATTTCCTCAAACAAATTTTTATACGGGGCCCCTCCAAGATACGCTACGCCATTGCCACTGCCTGGTACCTAACTATGCCGTAAAAATATTTTCAAAGGTTTCAATTGGTCTTCGTATTTAAGTCTTGTTTTTGTTAGGTAGCCTGACTAACGCCTAGGAGACCTAAGTGACTGTTTTCCAATACTTACCGGCTCCATTAAGTTGTCCATTGATGCACCCTTCGTCCCACATGTTGACACATCGCTTGCCAGGGTTGAAGCCGCCGTTCAAATAGTTGTCATCATTGCCTGTAACATATAAAAAGATGGAGTCGCGGAGAACTTAACGGGTTGCCGGGGCTCTGGCTTGAAGGGCAGGAACGGGGTGGTTTTTAGTCAGTAAGAGTCTGACCAGAGAAATACTTCTTTATTATATCTGTGAGTCTGACACTCTCTCTCCTGGGTGAGGCGGGAGATTCGATGATTTTCCTCCCTTAAAAAAAACATAAAAAGACAGATAAGCTGAAAAATTGACAAAATCTTTCGTACTGTATCTGGGCTATCGGCTGGCGTACACCGTGTCACACCGGGTTATATTTCCATACTGAAAATTTCTTTGCATGGCTCACAAATTTTTGTGCGTGTAAGTTTTTTTATGGGATAAGCCGGTAAACTTTCTGACGGTTCACCTTATGATAAGCAATCGGCGTCGCCCATAGACACCTGGAATACCAGAGGCTTTACTAAATGCGTTACTTTTGGGCCTTTTCGGGATTAGGAAAATGCGGAAAATGGGGAATAAAAACATTTGAGGATATTAGTGAGATTGAGAAGGGGAGGGGGGAGGTAATAAGGCCTCCGGTAACCTCACTCAAACGACGAAACAAAACACAAGCGTTGTTTCATGTCAGTTTTCAGTGAGGCTGTGGTATCATTCTGTTCCAGCTGGCCCATTCGTGCCACGACCGAAACATGGCTCTTATTATCTATGTGTTTGTAAACGCACCTGCGATACCTACAGATGGACACGTTAGTACCTACGTGGTAATATTAATATGTGAATCTTGTAGTGCACCCTGGCCTCGTTAATTTAGGTAGGTAGGTACTTACGTACCTACTCAATTCTCTTATTTTCTAAGCTAATTTATGAATATTTTAAACATAATATTTATTATTTTCTGAAAATAACAATAGAATTACCGAATTCTGTGCAGTCATTACCAGAATGTGCATTTGCGTACGTATAATAGTCGAAATGGACTTAGATACCCATTTCGATGAATATTTTTATTTACATATACATTGATAGGGATACAAATATTTGGATACTTAACAATTACATCATTGTAATATTATTATATCCATCGAGAAACGTCATTTTTGAATACTGTGCACAAGTTGTACAATGAAATGGATTCTCAATGATCTTTAGACCCCGCACTAGGATTAATCGCGGCGATTTCTATCAAAATCTAAATCTATTATAAATAGGTGGTCACTACTAAGCAGTTTTGGCATAAATTCCACTACCCTAAATCTACTTATTACCTAACTACTAATAGTTAATTCAAAAGTTTGAGTCCACACTAGGACTTATTGCAGTTTCACTAGGTATTTTGCAGTAGCAATAAGTCCTAGCCACGTACACATCAAAAACGACAATATGGATGATGACAGGGCATCAAAATTAAAAATGTAATAGGCCGTCAGTTAGGTAATGAAAAAATAAATATTTGACACGTATTTTTTTATTTTGTTGTATTATAAACTGATACTTAGATATAACAAATAAAAATTTAGGAGTGGAGGCTAAACGTCATTTCTATGTATAAAATGTACATAGAAGTGACGTCACGCAAAATTTCAAATCAATATATCTTCGAAACTATTCGTTTCCGTAAAAATATTAAAAATACGTGTATAATGTTTTGAAATAATATACCGGACGGACATTAAAATAAAAATTAATTACCTACCCTATTTGTGGATTACATTAACCAGTTCTTTGAAGGGAATCTCATTAACTACACTACTGACGGTTCCCCAGTCATTGCAACTACTCCGGAGTTCAACTTACCGGCTCCATTAAGTTGTCCATTGATGCACCCTTCGTCCCACATGTTGACACATCGCTTGCCGGGGTTGAAGCCGCCATTTAGATAGTTATCGTCATTACCTAGCGAATAAGCAAATTAAAAAGAGTTTAGTGTAGTAGTGTCTTCTTTGAGTGTTTTTGCTTCTGCGGATACTGACTGCCTCGTTGGCCGAGTGGTCGCAAGTGCGACTGCCGGGCAAGAGGTCTCGGGTTCGATTCCCGAGCCGGGCAAAGTATTACTGGGTTTTTAAAAATCTCAGTAGTAGCACGGAGTCTGGAAATGTGCCTGGTATATGGTAATAGGCTTACCCCCTATTATATGGGACTCATAACATAAATAGTGAAAAGTGGGTGTTAAATTGTAGGTATAGTGGCATTAAGTGCCGTAATGTGCACCTCTGCCTCTTCGGGACTAAAAGTCGTGATGTTATGTTATGTTATGGATACTTGCCAGCTCCATTAAGTTGTCCATTGATACATCCTTCGTCCCACATGTTGACGCATCGCTTACCAGGGTTGAAACCACCATTCAGGTAGTCGTCATCATTCCCTGAATAAAATGACAAGTAAAAATTTAAATTGGGCATCATATGGTTCAAGATATCTAAAAGTTTATTCTTTTTGACCTTACGTACCAGCACCGTTCAGTTGTCCATTGATGCAGCCTTCATCCCACATGTTAACGCATCTCTGACCGGCTGAAAATTAAACATTATGTTGGTGCATACATTACAGATCTATCTATTAAAGAAGTAGTATACATGTAATGTTACAAAAAAAGCCACTTCTATAATTCCTCAGGTGTTGTAGACGTCCATGGGCGGCGTTAATCGCTTACCATCAGGTTGCCGCGTTTGTGCGCGTCGCGCCATAAAAATGTTCATTTTATAAAAAGCAAAAAAAGAACAATGAAACAAAGAACAAATCTTTGGTAAACTTACATCTGTGGAGGGCAGAGTGCGTGCCCAAAGTTTTGCAATAAACTATGGAAATTACACTGCAGAGCACAATAAATGCCTTCATTTCGGTAGGCCAGCTGTTCTGTCGTCCCGTTAATGGTTTTCCGAATGACAAATTGTAGTAATTTCGTATATTTTCCACGCTTTTATAAAGGGGTCGCCACTCGAAAAATTAATTAGCCAGAGATGGTATCGCCCACTTATGATATAGGAATTAATATTGCATTCCCAATGGTTTCGGTGTGGGTTTTGGATTTTAATTATTATTATCGGAGATTAAACAGCTGATAGAGTTTTCATGGGCGTATTTTCATTGATAGCAGGTCAGTGCTTACGTTATAGGTAAGTATAGATAGGTACCTACTTGAGCGTACGGTGCGTCGCGTTCCGCGCGCGCCTCAAAGAGCCATCAGACCACCACGGATGGGGTCCAACAGGGCTGATGCCGATTCGGAGTCGCGCAGAACCTAACAGGTTACTGGGGCTCTGGCTCGAAGCGCAGAAGAAGGTTCAGGGTGGTTTTTAGTCAGTAAGAGTCTGACACTCCCTCCCGCCTCACCCAGGCGGGAGCAGTCATTCGATGATTTTCACAGCTTAAAAAAAAGTATAGGTAGGTAGTCCTAGTTTCTTATGACCATTTCTTTTACCACCATCTTCATTGGTTTGGACAAATAAAATAAACAATTTTCTTTTAAAATTCATAACAGCTAACATTTGAGTTCGGATAACAGGGATTCATTTACAGCGGGATAATAAGTCAGATTGGATAACCTAATTTATGTGAAAAAATATGGGAAATTTTAAGGATAAACGCAGTTTAAGAATAATAACAAACAAATGCGTATAGTCATCCTACCTTATTTATTATTATCTAGCACTTGATATCTACCTAACTATAATTATTGAAAATCATTTAGACATTGCTGTTTGTTAATTGACCAATCAATAAGTAATGGTGACAATGAATAATAATTATATGCTTATTGCACCAGGATGCCAATGACTCAGCAAGGCAACGTACCTGTGATTACTCTGGTGTTGCGGGTGTCCTTGGGCGGCGCAGATCGCTTACCATCAGGTGATCCGTCTGCTCGTTTGCCTCCTCTCTCTATCTCTATCAATATTGTAGAATATTTTTTTATGAAATACTTTTTTTATATGAAATAGTCTAAAACTCTAAAGTTTAGAGTTTTTACAAAGGTAATAGTTACATGAGTTTTGTTTTTAACTGACCTCAAATAAGGATGATTTCTGTTTGATCTGTATGTATCTATGTTTGTACGCAATTATCTTGCAATTGACTAAACCGATTTTGATGCGGTTTTTGATAAATGTTTGTCACATTTAGGAGAAGGCATTAATATATCTACTTATTAATTAACTGACAATTAAAAAACAGAGGGGATTGAAGACCGTTTTTTTAAACGTACGTAATATTTATTGTCAATGTTAAATCTGCTCCGGACAAGGTTTTTCTCCCGTGTCGATTTACAAATCTACAAATCACATCGAAAATCTGAAAACATAGTGTGTGAATCACACAAATAATTATTCCGTGTAAGAATCGAATCCGTGACAAGTTGCGCAACAGTCACTTTACCAGTCACTGCATTAACCATGCAATTAGTCATATTATGTTGCTAAATAAAATCTATACTAATATTATAAAGCTAAAGAGTTTGTTTTTTTTTGTTTGAACGCGCTAATCTCCGAAACTACTGGTCCGATTTGAAAAATTCTTTCTGTGTTGGATAGCCCATTTATCACGGAAGGCTATCCTTACTAATATTATAAGTCGGAAAGTGAGTTTGTTAGTTTGTTCCGCTTTTACGCCGTAACTACTAAACCGACTGCTTTGAATTTTTGCAGACGTGAAGTTAGAAGTCCGGATTAAATAATAGAGTACTTTTTATCCCGGAAAAATTTGATATTCCCGAGGGAAAACAAAAGTATTGGTATACCTCTAGATGGCGTTGTATGTATATGTCACATAGGCTAATTTTTATCCTTTTGTGAAGCGAGCGAAGCCGCGGGTAAAAGCTAGTAGGCTATAAAATGTCATGCTATGATTAATAGGCGCCGAGCAGAGCGAGTGAAACCGCGCGGAAGTAGCTAGTGTTATTTAATGAATAGACGACATAGGTTAAAATTGCATGCCTCCATCTCTCAAGAAAGGATTGTCATTTTACCAGTTTTAACAGATTCATCGCCAAAAAGGGTCAGTATCTATTCAATTTTGTCGAATATACTTAATGTTCTAAGAAATATCATTAAGATAATAAAAATGGTGTAATAGCATCGAACAAAGGACAATTATTGAGCCAACAGTTTATTTAGATGATAACGGTTGCAATAAATACTCCGTTCCCTAAATTTAAAATTCATTAGTTAAGTTCATTTAGTGTATAGGCCCTTGCGTAGTTACGACACACGAATATGGCATTAAAAAGAGGTTTAAATTATTATTAAAGTTATATCTCTGATCGAAGTACGAATAATGGATAAAATAATCTGTTTTTTGTTTTGTACTGTTGTAACTTTGTGCTCTTGTGAGGCTTATAAGATCTTGGCTGTGCTTCCGATTCCAAGTCCTAGCCACGGCATCCTTGGAGACAACCTGGTTAGACATCTTCTGGACGCTGGACATGAAGTAAGTAATTCTTCTGTTTATCATGGCGCTTCTTCAGCTTCTTAACTCGTCGAATACCGGTTTTATAGACACAATTAAAGAACAATAGGTCGCGGTCACCGGTGACCGCTTGGTGTTTGACAGTTTAAATTCGTCCTTATTATTGGTAAGGTAGAAAAGTTTTTCTAAATAGACGATACCAGTCCAATTCCAGTTAACTTTGTACTTCATTAAGCAGAGCCATAAATTCTTGGATTTAAAGTCCAATCGATCTAAAATCTAAGTGAAAACTGAGCAAACGTTTTTCGGTCCATTTATATACTGAACTCGTCGAGTACCGTCATTATAGACACAATTAAAGAACAATAGGTTGCGGTCACCGGTGACCGCTTGGTGTTTGATAGTTTAATTCTTATGTTCATTTGTATGCAACGTTCCTACTATTGTTCATACTACGTACTGATCCTAACATTTTCATCCTTCTTGCAATCACTCTTTATTCTACTTTTTGCATATCCCTGCATTATGATCTGTACAAAACAACCATGGTAACAAATGATTTGTAGGTTAATCCTTTAGTTCAAGCAGTTAATTCTGTCCCTGATAATAGGGTAGATGCCTGATTTTTAGTTCAATGTCCGTCTTGTAGATTATGTTAAATCATTAGACACGTATTTTTTAATTTCTTACAGAAACGAATACTTTCAACGATATATTGATTTGAAATGTCGCGTGACGTCACTTCTATGTACATTTTATACATAGAAATGACGTTTTAGCCCCCACTTCTAAACTTTGATTTGTTTTAACTAAGTATTGTTTTATTATACGACAAAATAAAAAATCTTATATTTACCTAATACCTAACTTACGGACTAATTAGATTTTTAATTTTCATACCCTGTCATCTTCCCAATTATCATTTCATCAATAATGTTATTATTATAAAAAATATTGGTACTTGATACATACAAACATAGCATTGAGTAGGTATATTACCAATGGACAGGTGGAAATCTGTTGTTCGACGTGGGCGGGTAAGATGTGGCCTTTGTTCAGCTATGGACATCTTCCGGCTGTTAATGATAATGAATAATGTAATAGAGCATTTTAATAATTAGATTGCATTTAGTAATAAGAACGCAGTTTATCATTTTCCTTGTCAGCAAACAAGTCATATATTTCTACAATCACATTTATTTCGCAAGCAGTTTCACCGCCGAAATTTTAAAGATCTGGTTCCCCGGAACAATTCTATTATTTTTTACTATAACGTATTTCATACACACAAAGAACGCAATTTTATAGACATAAACAACGTAACTAAACAAATATCATTAGCATATCTGTAAACTTAATTACTAAAGTACTGAGGAAATTGCGTTGCAGCTAGATGATATCGTTATATATAATAATTGGGTAGTTACCAGGGTATCAAAATTAAAAATCGAATTAGTCCGTCAGTTAGATAATGAAAAAATATTAGACACGTATTTATTTATTTTCTCGTATTAAGTTGCAATACTTAGATAAAATGGCGCTAAGTTTAGAAGTGGGAGGTCGTTACGTCATATCATGCTACAAAATGTGGTACGCTGTGACGTCCCACGATATTTTTAAAATAATATATCGTCGAAAGTGTTTAATTTTGTGAGAAAAAAAATATGTGTCTAAAGTTTTAAATCAGTGTACAAGACGGACATTAGAGGTAGAATAAAATTAAGGAAACTCCCTTATTACAATAAGCGGCTTTGTGCCTTTCGACTACCTAATCTAAACCTAATTGATACTTATAGTTGGGTTTTGCAAATCAGCAGGATATTAATTTCAAGCCTGGGTACGTTCTAAAACTGTGATCAGCTACTGAGGGATGGGCAGGAGTTATTTGTAAAATTAGTGATTAACTAAATGCGATATCCAACGTGTCTATTAAGCTTGGGGATTATAGTAAACCCTTCCTCAAGAGGGATAGTTTTGTATAGTAGTATAGCAGATGATGATCATAAAAAAATGGAACCATTATCACCTGTGAATATACTTAATTTGTTGATTTTTTGTTTTATAAAACAAAAAATCAACAAATTAAGATTACACTAGGATTTTCTCCTGTGTCGTGGGTTCGTTTACAAACATACAAGTTCACATGCACATGACACCCAGACCCGCAACAACGATCTGTGACTCACACAAAGAATTGTACCGAGCGGGAATCGAACCCGCGACACGTTGTGCGGCAGACAGTTGCCCACCGCGCCAACCGAAGAATTCTTTTTTAATTTAGTATGTCTCACGATAGTTATCATAAAAATTTAATTCTTTTTTCTTTTAATTACAGGTAACCTATGTAACTCCATTCACTAGCAAACAGATGAACCACACAAACTTACATATAGTGAACGTGGATGCCAACCATGTGATATATGAGGGTAAGTTAAGTACCTTTTATTATATCACCGGTTATTACAAAAGTGAAAAGAATATTATCGTCAGAATATATTGTAGCTTTTCAAAAATGTTTCTCACTATTTGTAGGGGTATAATACCCAAGATAAAGTAGGTACTGATATACTTCGTTAAGAAGGCATAATTATTTAACACTAGCTGTTATCATTACATCATCCGTGTTGAGTGTTTTTTTTAATATTTTATGGGGCGACGTTTGACCACTATCTCGCCTGGTGGTAAGCGATGATGCGGTCTACGATGGAGCACGTCGTCCCATAAGCAACCTATTCACTCGGGCCTTGAAGACACCCAGGTTATACCTGTTTCATTCCTATTTCATTCCATGGAAGCATTTAATTGGGATAAAAAGTATCCTATCACCCAAGTCAGCCTATATCCTGCTTGTATACTACATCTCATCAAAATCCGTTCAGTAGTTTCAGCGTGATTGACGGATAAACATTCAAACAAAGATATTTTCATAAAACTAGTTCTACGAAGTTCGTAGAAGGCTTTATTACAGTGAAACCGGTTGTGAATCATGGTTCATATTTTTTGTGTATTTTTACAGATGGAGAAGACCAGCTAGATTTCCAGCAGATTCTGGACCATAGGTCAACTGTAGTTGACTCACCATTTTTGTTTTGGGTATTATCTAACGTTGCCGACATGACATTAGGCAACCCGAATGTCCAAAAACTGTTAAGGGATCCACAACAGAAGTTTGACGTCATTCTAGTCGAATACATATTCACTGATGTATTTTCAGCGTAAGTAACATTTTGGATTTTAATTTTGATTCCAATTTCTTGTGAGAACCATTAGGATCTGGTTCGTAGGCGTCTTTCAAGTCTCGAGCGCACTCTGGTCACGGCATTTAAGCTGAGCTCAGAGGCCTTAGAACTAGTTTGTTTTACGTTTAAAGTAATCGTAACGAGTACGCGTTCGGTGCTGTGATTGGTTGCTTTATTGGTGCCGGCCAATCACAGCGCCGAACGCATACTCGTTTCGAATACTTTAAACGTAAATCAAACTCGAACCTACTAAGGCCTCTGGCCTTTTTGCGCCGTCATCACTGTTTTAACTTTTTTTGTGTGTTTAGGTACTTTGTGACGGTGTGCAAATAAACAATTTTTCTTTCTTTCTTTCTTTCTTTCTTATGGAGTAGATAGAAGTTATAGAACGTCTCCTCGTACAATCCTTCTTTTTTAAGTCATATTCGCATGAATAAATAAATTGTTATCACTTAAATATATGATTGAACTTATGATAAGTAGAAAAAATAGTTTAATACGTCTTCTTTGACTATAATGAGGATGAGGTGATAGGTAGAAAATGATGAATGATTACTAGTACTAAAGCTTGTCTAGACAAACTGGTGTGATAATGTAGACTTTGACTGGACAGTTGGCGTGATGACTGGGCAACTGGCTGCCACACAACGTGTCGCGGGTTCAAATCCCGCACGGAACAACTCTTTATGTGATCGACAGATCATTGTTCTGGGTCTGAGTGTCATTGTGTATGTGAACTTGTGTTTGTAAACACACCCACGACACAGAAGAAAATCCTAATTAAAATCAATGATGATGATGTAATGTTTTAGGTTATCAGCGATTTACCAATGCCCTTTCATCTGGTTTTCAACTATTGGACCTCATTGGATGGTATTGAACCTGGTCCATGGTCCTTTGAACCCAGCTTATAATACTGACTTCCTTCAAGCTCGAGTTCCTCCCTTCCCGTTCTTGGGAAGAGTCGAAGAGCTGTGGACGCAGGTGAAAGGCTTGTACCGTCATAAATTGTGAGTAATTTGATCTTTACAATAACTGCATGGCTATCTTTTTGTCCTGTGTAAAATCACAAAGGTCACCTTCAATCTCTGAAGAAATTGTTCAATTATTTTTATAGCAGTCTTTATTATCTAATACGTTTTTGTTAAACATCACGTAAGAATAAGTATAACAGAATTCATTTGAATCATTCTTCTTGTATTCAACACAACAGAAGGTTATGTTCCACCCCATATCCCCAAGCGGTCACCGGTGATCGCTCTCCGCTAACTACATATAGACCTTATTTCCAATGTTTAGAGACTACTTTTGTATGAACAAATTTAGGGGATGATTTTCAAGTTAAGCAAAGTGGTTCACTAATTTATTTTTTATTTCAGTGACTTTTATTACGAGGAAGAACGTATATATCAAAATCGGATAGTCCCTATCCTGCAGGAGCTGGGTAAACCAGTGCTAGATTTAAATGCAATGAAATATAATGCATCATTACTGTTTGGCAATTCGCAAGTAGCGCTTGGTGATGCAGTGCCATTGCCACCAAATTATAAGCATATAGGTGGCTTCCATGTTGATGAAGTAGTGAAGCCTTTACCGGAGGTGAGTAATGAGACATTTTGCTACAATATTAGTAAGAACTTAGCGTTATAGTACTTCTGAGTGTAGAGGTAAAGCAACATAGTTATGAATGCTACCCCTTTGGTTGAGATCTATTCAATCTATTATTGTATATCATTTACATTACAATGATGCATTAAATGTGTTGTCACAATTCTTTTAATCTATTTTCAAATCAGTAATGCTAATAAGTAAATGCGTCTACAATCTTTCATTATACATATTCATATTTGTCCTATCACGGGACATTTGTTCCAATATATCCCTATAAAAATGTATATATATAACTGGATAAAACCAGGTGTTTTATCAAAAAAGAGAAGATTTTGCGATTTTATCATCGCTTGAAGTGCTAATTAGTTGTAGTCACGATATAATTATGTAATTTTTCCAGAATTTGCAAAAGATTATGGATGAAGCAGAGCACGGTGTCATATACTTCAGTATGGGCTCCAATTTAAAGAGTAAGACTATGCCGAATGAACTGAAGAAAGGTCTGCTGAAGGTGTTCGGAGGACTGAAGCAGACTGTCTTGTGGAAGTTTGAGGAGAATCTACCGGATCGCCCCAAAAATGTCCATATCTTGCAGTGGGCACCACAACAAAGCATATTGGGTAGGCATTTATGTAATACGGGCGTAACAAAAGTTTACTAACACTTACGATACTGTGGTCTTTGATACTAAAGTGTTTCTTTTTCCAGCTCATCCCAATGCGATACTTTTCGTCACTCACGGTGGTCTCCTATCACTCACCGAAGCAGTCTACTTCAGCATCCCAGTTATTGTTATTCCAGTCTTCTCAGACCAGTTCCTCAATGCAAACCAAGCCCAACATAAAGGAATTGGAGAACAAATTAACCTTTCCTACAACCTAGATAAGGACCTGAAGGTCACTCTGGATAAAGTTCTTGGTGATCTTTCCAAGTAAGTAGTATTTAATTTTAATTTGCCCTAACCAAATTGATTTCCTTTATGTACTTTCTGTGGCACAGAATCGTACTTTAGATCTTAATCTGTGTAATATTTTGTGTCACAGATATACTGCCAGAGCAAAAGAAGTATCTGCAGCATATCGCGACAATCCAGTAAAACCTGGAAAGGAGTTTAACTTCTGGGTGGAGCACGTGGTGCGGACGCGCGGCGCCCCACATCTGCGCTCAGTGGCGCTACAAGTGCCGCTGTACCAGCAAGCGTACTTAGATCTGTTAGCTGTAATACTGGGAGCAGCTGTTGTTATAGTACTAGTAGTTAGGAAGATTGTATGCTTCCTTACGTCGAAGAGTAAGAAGCTGAAGAAGAACTGATTTTCATTTCATGTCCAGCACTGGGCATCTTGTGTTGAAATGATAATGATCGCACAGATACGTAGCTTATTATAAAACCCTTTTTAAGCGCGAATTCAACGATTAAAATTGGTTTTAAATTGCCTTAACATGATAGATTTATGGAAAGACTTGTGCAAAGTATTTATATTTGTGTGTGATTTACCCTCTAAGGCAGACGTTAATAAATTATTATTACTAGGCGCAACTTTATGCTCATAATTTTGTTGCCATAAGTTATGAATGATAAATTTTCAAATACACAAACGTCACTTCATTTTGAGACGCGCTTATGTATAGTTCTCTCACTACAAATTCGTTCTATGACGTGGTGGCCTGGAGGCTCAAGACGCCCGCTTCTCATGAATGAGAGTGCGGGTTCGAAACCTACCAACGGCAAGTGCCAATGTGACTTTTTCCGAGATATAAATATGTACTTTCTAAGATTATCTAGACACCACACCACTGACATATGATGAAGGAAAACATCATGAGGAAACCTGGGCTTATAATTTCATAAGTTTGTAATCGCCAACCCGCAATGAGAAAGCATGATGAATAATGTTCAAACCTTCTCCTGGGAGTCGAGGCTATGCTCAGCAGTGGGCATTTATAGGCTGTTGATGTTGAAATTCTTTGTTGAATGACAGAGATGGCACGACATTTAAGTAAATCTTTAAAATTGAGTAGTCTTTCTGTCATTGGGCAAAGAGTGATAAACTATATGTAATTTATTTCTAAACTAAATAAATTATTATGTTTTCGGCTTACTCACGTAGTAATTTGACGAGGAACTCGACTAGTTTCAAGCCATGCGGTATGTAACACTGTTTTTGCGTCGACCCGGGATTCGAACCCAACAACACCAACGCAGCTGCCGGCGGGCGAGTCTAGCGTGCCAACAGTGCCGCGCGCGCCGCCGTCGCCGTCGCCGATACCACGAATGGAAGAAAGTGCGCGTGAATCACGGCAGAGGGCGCGCTGGGCCCGAAGACTCGAGTAGCCAGTAGCAGCGCGACAGTCGCCGCGTCGCGGGTCGCGAAATGCTGCTCATGAATATGAGCCTCTAGGATGGCTTGAAACTAGTCGAGTTCCTCGTCGAATTACTACGTGAGTAAACCGAAAACATAATAATTTATTTAGTATGTCTCACGAAAGTTACAATATAAATATTTCTAAATTATGTACAAATAACTTGCCGTGTGGTGACGGCAGAGTAGAATACATTTGTCACCACCCCTACTCATCCCGCGGGTGTCGTAAGAGCCGACTAAGGGATTAAACAGAGACACTACAACCTCTCACCTGCTGACAAAGCGTGGAATTATAGCAATCTCCTTCTATGTAGAGGGACAATGCGGTTATTTCCCAACTTTTCAACTTATCAAATTCTTGTAACTTTCGTGAGACATACTAAATAAATTAATATGTATATGTTGATTAGCGAAGGAACTCACAGGTCCCACAGAAAAACAATAGCAAAGTTGTAGATACAAAAAAAGATCAAAAATTTTTGTATTACGACTTTTTAAACATAACATACTCTCAAAAATTACGCGAACAATTCAAAATACTGGTTTTTTTATTTTTATCTTCTTCATCCTTATTTTTTTGCGTAAGTTTGTGATTACATATATTTTATGTCCTTAAAATATACACTTTTCGTTAAAAAACTATTTTTTTCCCTATTTTATTTATCTAATATGGAAAAGTAGTCTCATTTTCAGCTAAAAAATATCACGCCATAATGAAAAACTAATACGCTTCTTATTTGTTGAAATGTCTATTTTTGGATAGTGTGAAAAATAAATCTCACCTTGGTTAACAGCATCTTTACAGAATACCTTTATTTTCGGCCCTAAAAATAATCGGCAGAATATTCAGTTTTTTAATTAAAAGTGGGTGTTTCTTGTAATTCAAAATTTTTACTTTTTATGGTGGATATATAATAAAATATACACCATAAAACAAATTTTCGCGAAAAAGTAAGAAACAGAGCGAAAAGAAGTCGCTAAAAATACCTTAGCTTTCAGTTTCAAGATCTAACACTAAAAAAACTGCTTAAAAAGGAAACTTGTACGCTTCTTGTTCATTGAAATTTTTACTCCTGTTAGCTTGACAAAAATAGATGCTGAAACTGCAAAAATAAAATCGAGTAGTCTCGAATTGAATCGGTTTTATTTCACTTTTGTGTTCGATTGGAGATTATTAGTTTTTTTTGTATCTTCAACATCAGTATTTATTTTTAACCATCTAACAGACAGTAGAGATTTTAATGAACAAGAAGCGCACAAGGTTTTTTAAGGAGATTTTTTGACGTAATATCTTGACTCGGTCCTTTATGGTTTGATTTTTGTGTTTGTTGTGTTTTCCGTGACGATTTGTTGTATCGGTGGATAATTTGTATTATAGCATCAAAAATGAGAGATTTTGGGTTACAAGTTAGACATGAATTCATTTGAAAAAGCAATATTTTGCCATTTTTAAGGCTGAAAAAGAAGAGGCTCTATGATTTTTATAATAACTATCGTGAGACATACTAAATTAACAAATATCGCGGTTACTCACGTGAATATGAGAAAAGCTCTACTAGTTTCGAACAACAGAGGGGTTCTTCCTCATGAGCAGCGTGCGCGGTCGCGGCGATGTCGTGCAGCTCACGGGCTGGCGTTGGCGCTCGCTTCGGTGTTGCTACTTGCGCTGCTAGCCCAACGCGCCCTCTGCCAGACACTACGAGGGTTTGCTTCCAACTCCGGCGGCACGTTGGACGATGTTAAAGCGCACGGTACGTTTAACAGCGGCGCGGGTAGTGGGTTCGATTTCGGGTTCGGCACAAAGTCAGTGTTGTATATAACGTTTACTGTGTCATACTCTAGACTGGAGACGCTGTGGATCGACGTAGACTCCAAGCTCGGCTTCCATGCGAGTGGCAGTGCCCAACCACCATCTCTGTTGAAGCACGGACGTCAGCTAATCTGGATGGCCTCTCGCACTTTACGCGGAACGAAGTATTTTTTTCTCGCTAGTACGGAGCCTTATCAAACCGTATGAAGTGAGCCGCGTCCGTACCGCACACATGTTCATCCACTGCCGATGCCTGGATGTCCATCTTCTTCACGCTGCGTATATGTTCCTTTAGCCTGGTTGTGATGTAGCGACGAGTTTCCCGGATGCAACTCGAGCCACAGTCGCACGGTATTATATACACTCCGGGCACAGCCAGCGGATCCTTATCTTTAGGTGAGTGTAGTAGTTGTCTTCGCCGTAAATACTGCATCAGGACGATCTTCCGCCCACCCGGTCAGCTAAGACAACTACTATGCTCACCAAAAGCTAAGGATCCGTTGGCTGTGCCCGGAGTGTACATAATATCGTGCGACTGTGGCTCGAGTTACATCGGGGAAACTCGTCGCAACATCACAACCAGGCTAAAGGAACATATACGCAGCGTGAAGAAGATGGATATCCAGACATCGGCAGTGGATGAACATGTGTGCGGTACGGACGTGGCTCACTTCATACGGTTTGATAAGGTCTCCGTACTAGTGAGAGAAAAATACTTAACGTTCCGCAAAAAGTGCGAGAGGCCATCGAGATTAGCTGACGTCCGTGCTTCAACAGAGATGGTGGTTGGGCACTGCCACTCGCGTGGAAGCCGAGCTTGGAGTCTACGTCGATCCACAGCGTCTCCAGTCTGGAGTGTGACACAGTAAGCGTTATATGCAACACTGACTTTGTGCCGAACCTGAAATCGAACCCACTACCCGCGCCGCTGGTGAACGTACCGTGCGCTTTAACATCGTCCAACGTGCCGCCGGAGTAGGAAGCAAACGCTCGTAGTGTCTGGCAGAGGGCGCGTTGGGCTAGCAGCGCAAGTAGCAACACCGAAGCGAGCGCCAACGGCAGCCAGTGAGCTGCACGAGCGACGTCGCCGCGACCGCGCACGCTGCTTATGAGGAAGAACCCCTCTGTGGTTCGAAACTAGTAGAGCTTTACTCAGTATATTCACGTGAGTAACCGCGATTTTAGTTAATTTAGGCTCTTTGATCTCTTAAACCTTCAAGAAAAGAGCGTATTCCTTTTTAAAAAGCCGGTAGCGCACCGGTGATTCGTCTAGTGTTGCGGGTGTCCATGGACGGAGCTGATCGCTTACCATCAGGTGATCCGTATGCTCGTTTGCCTCCTATTACATAAAAAAAGATAATAAAAATAGAAAGAATGAGGAAGATCAAAATAAAAACCAAAGTATTTTAAATTTTTCTCATAAATTTTGAGGATGTGTATTTTTAGTATTTTAAGTCTAAACACAAAAGTTGCACATCTGTTTTAGTATCTACAATTTTGCTATTGACTTTTTTTTTCTGTAGGATCTGTGGGTTCTTCCGCAAATTCCATTAAATCGATTTTTTCTTCTAACGCTCACCCATCTTTTTCTTGACCTTAGATCACTCGTAATTTATGTGTCTATATTATTGGGCACATTCTCTTCCCCTTGTAATGGGTCTCATTCTACTACTATTGAATGTTGTTACCAAAATTATCTGCACTAGCCTAATATTGATGGAGGTGATGATATTAATGTTAAGAATGATAGATCACCATCAATTCGTTTTATTCAGTAAGTAATTTCCCTAAAGTGCTCGCATCATCATCATCACTATTATCTGATTCTAATATAAGTGGTCATACATTTTGAACCGGTAAGAATTTGACCATGACCTTGGTGAAAAGTTAGGAAATAACCTCTCTGTTTAGTTTGATCCGTATTTCCTGGTACCTAAAAATAAATAGGAGTCCTTGATAAAAGTAAATAAATTATTAAATATGTTACTGATCGTATTTTTATTTTCTGTTTATTGTAATTGAACGTTCTCAATAATTTGAGGCAATCAGCCTATTGTTAAGCTGCATACTTAGAAATTTTTTAGTTAATCGGTTGAAGATATCTGTTTCAAAATATCAAGCATCCACTTTAGATGGTGAGGGGAGAGAAGTAAATAAATCGAATACTAATTAATACACTTTTAATTTCTGACTCCAATTAAGGTTACATACAATTTAGAACAGTCACAATATTTAGTAGCGTGCATCTGTAGTGCGATATACGGGACAACTAGAGAGGCGAACACAATGCAAGAACAGTGTGAACAATATTGATGCGTCAACAATTAGAGTAGGTCCCACTACACACATATAACACAGTAAATACTCTTCATAACTTGTTATAAATGGGTACGTCTATGATCCCCTGCGTTCCTATTTGAAAAAAAAACAGCGATGATAATAATATTATCTAATTGACGCACTTTTTATGTACAAGATATCATCAGGATGATATTGTCAACAGCGATTTAGTCTTCTTTTTCAATACTAAAATGAGTCTTATTTTGCTTACTATAAAGTCCATTCAAATAAACCGCTTATCAGAGAAGAGTCGGTTAATGAAGATAACGGTTACAATATTTATATGTCAGTCAACTGATCACGCCGAAAGACAGGCTACACTTAATAGCGTAACCGATTATTGTGATTACGACAAATAATATTTCAAAAAGTATTAAAATTATTTGATAGACTATAGAAACTTTATCAAAAATGGAGAAACTTAGATATGTTTTGTTTTGTGTGGTTTTAAGTCTGTGTACATGTGACGCTTACAAGATCTTGGTCGTGTTTGCGAATCCGAATCCTAGTCATGGTATACTTGGAGACAATATGGTTAAACATCTTCTTAGTGCTGGACACGAAGTGAGTATATCTTTGAAAAATTCAAACCTAAGTGATTTTGTTTATGTACCGTTTGTGTTATGGGGCATCCATACTGGCTGGCCACTATCGCGGTGGTAAGACTCCTCATTGAGGAGTGACTAGAGAGCTGCCACACCTTACGACTGGTGCATTCAGGAAAGCACCCGTTTCGAATATTTCGGATATGGAAGGATATGCCTAGGTGTCATGTGTCATTGTAAGAATAATTCGAAAGACAGAATGAACATACAAAGTCAAAGCCAAAGTCAAAGTCAAAGATCTTTATTGTGAGACAGTGGTTATAAAGGTTGTTCTAAAGGTTGTTGTGTTTAGGCACTGCTCCACCATGTTAGGCATACAATAGTTTGTGACAAAAGTATAAATTGCAGTAGCTGTACATTATATTATTAAATACTGATTGAATAAGGAAACTTGTATTAATTTCATTTTGAATCAAAACATAAAATTGCGTTTCAACTGTTAACGAATCTGTCAGAAAAAAAATCATTCATACGGTGGAGGTGCGCTTCCCTTGTAGCTAAATCTCACTAAATGTCAGCCGGTTGTGTCCAATGCTAAACAACGGTCTGCCTTCGCTTAAAATTAATTTCTCCACATTTCCACTTGTGTGTGTGTGCTGCTTGAGGATCTTAGTTAAGTCACATAAAGGGAAACTATTACTGCATCCCTTGGCAGTCGTTCTTAGTCCACGCTTGCTTAAATTAAAACTGAAGTAGGTATTACTAGTATTATTGAAAAATTTTTTACTTATCAGGTATTACATATTCTAATTGTATAAATAGAAATAATCTTTAATGATTTAATTTGTTTACAAAACCCTGTGTGACAAGTTCGAACCTGCCTGAAATCGTTATGATGCTATCTCTTTGTTAATCATTATTATGATCACGGTAGTTGTTTGATTAGATAAATACATACCTCTAAATCTAAGCCTAAATAGATTGTATCAGTTATTGTAAAACGTGTAAAGTATTACTATTTTTTTTTTGTTTTTTTTTTTTTTAAGAACGTAGCCCCACACTAGTATGGAACTAAAATAAGTTAAACGAATGGAGTTTCTTGCTCGTTCTTCTCCACTCGAATCTACATTTTGGAACAAGCACCTAGCTTCACTGACGGACAGACTGACAGACTATTATTTATTAATTATATTTATTGACACTTCAAAAGTACCAAATTGTAGTTTGATAATTAAAATAAATGCTTTTAAGTTTGAGGTTGAACTTAGTTTAGATATACCTATGTATATGTATCTAATGCCTCCTCTGGCAATGTCTTTTGAGTGAATCACAGAGACGGTTCTTTTCATTTCGTATACCAGAACTTATACATGATTTGTCATGTCTGATACGACCTTCAAACCTTCAAGAAAAGAGCGTATTCCTTTCTAAAAGGCCAGCAACGCACCTGCGATTCCTCTGGTGTTGCGGGTGTCCATGGCCGGCGCTGATCGCTTACCATCAGATGATCCATCTGCTCGTTTGCCTCCTATTCACAGTAGACAGTGGACAGTAATATTTATAATTGTTTTTTTTTCAGGTGACATACATAACACCTTACATAGAAACACTGAAGAATAAGACAAAAGCACATTTAGTGGATGTTGGTAACACTCACAAAATATTAGAAGGTTAGTTGGCCGTGATTGGCATATTATCAAGTCTCAGACCCGGACCAAAGTATTATTGGCTACTTAGATTCATTATGTACCAGCAATATGGCAAATGACACTCTCTCTAATACAATCTAAACTTTAAAAAATAAAGAATTTAGTCACAATAGGTACTTGATGAGTAACTCAATTTCCTTTCTTTTTATTGTAAGCAAAAATTTTGTATATATTTGATAGGTTACATTTTGTTAAAAGGTATGATAGGGTTGGCATATCAAAGATAAAAACCCCTTAATAAAAATCAGATAAAAAAAAATAAAGGATATAATCTTACATTTTCAACAGTGGCAAAAGACATATTGGACTTGAAGCAGATTCTAGAAGGGACAGTAGAATCACCAGACTTTAAACTCATGTTCGAACTGGTGTCCACAATCGGTGATATGACACTTAGCAACCCGAATGTTCAAAAACTGTTGAGAGACCCAAAACAGAAGTTTGACGTCATTATTGCTGAATTCATGTTCAATGAATTGTTTTCCACGTAAGTTAGTTTATTTTTTTTATCATAATGTTCAGTACCTACCAGTATATTACAAAAAAAAAAAAGGAAAATATGTAGAATACAGTCTTTAAAAGAGTGGAACGGGTGTTTTTTTAGTCGTAGAACAAAAAATCTGTTTCATGATATGATATGGTCACTTAAATACAAGTCATTTTGAAGTGCGTTTTAAATACTTTTCATATTGGATACAATATAACAATTTGTATGATTAGCCGGTAAACGAGCAGATAGATTACCTGGTGGTAAGCAATCGGCGTCGCGGCGTTACCGGCCTTTTGGGATTGTTGGGGATTCAGGCATCGAACGACAAACACGACGCAAACGTTGTTTCATGTCGATTAAGATGGGGTGTTGTGATGTTTCAGGTTCTCAGCAGTTTATCAGTGTCCTTACATCTGGTTCTCTACTATTGAACCAAATTGGATAGCTCTGCACTTGGTGAGCGATCCTATGAACCCAGCCTATAATAGTGACTATCTTCATGGTCGAATTCCTCCTTTCTCTTTTAAGGAAAGAGTTGAAGAGCTGTGGACGCAAATTAAAGGATTATATCATTATAATTTGTAAGTATTAGTTTGTATCTAATTACTTTAGCAACTACCTATGTACCTTTAAAGTTCTGATGAGGAAGTTCTAATGAGATTTCATGTCTGAAGTGAAGAAAACAAACAGATAGAAACTTAGTTATTAATGCTATATTATTCTTTTATTTTAGTAACTTCTATAATGCAGAAGAAGCCATATACCAAAAGCATGTAGTCCCTATCCTAAAGGAACAAGGAAAACCAGTTCCTGACTATAATGTGCTAAAATATAATGCTTCGCTAATGTTGGGTAATACAAATGTGGCGATTGGTAACGCAATGCCACTGCCACCAAGCTACAAGCACATTGGAGGTTACCATATTGATGAAGAGGTCAAGTCATTACCGGAGGTGTGTAATAAAAAATAGAATAAACTTTATTATATAAATCAAATAATTTTTGGTGTCGATTGAAATTTTAATCAGTTGTACTATTCCTAGGATTTGAAGAAAATTATGGATAATGCCAATAATGGGGTGATATACTTCAGTATGGGCTCCAATTTAAAGAGCAAGGAGTTACCAGATGAACTGAAAAACGGTTTATTGGAGGTGTTCGGAGGACTGCAGCAGACAGTTTTGTGGAAATTTGAGGAGAATCTACCGAACAAGCCTAAAAATGTCCATATCGTACAGTGGGCACCGCAGCAGAGCATATTGGGTAGGCATTTACTCAATGTAAAAAAGGTTAAAGGTTATTCTGTACTCTGTGACATTAAATATGATTTTTTCCTTCCAGCCCATCACAATTTGAAATTGTTCGTCACTCATGGTGGTCTCTTGTCACTCACTGAGGCGGTTCACTTCGGAGTTCCACTTATTGTCATTCCAGTTTTCGCAGACCAGTTCCTCAATGCAAACCAAGCTAAAAATAAGGGAATCGCAGAAAGAGTTGACCTTTCTTACAACTTAGATAAAAACTTGAAGGTTGCTTTGGACAAAGTTCTTGGTAATTTTTCCAAGTAAGTAGATAGTTGCTAACGCATCCAATCTTTTACTGGAAGTTTAGTTTGAGAGCGATTGCTAAGTGGGTTTTTATATTCACAGATACTCGGCCAGAGCAAAGGAGGTTTCTGCAGCATACCATGACAATCCGATGAGGCCGGGAGTAGCGTTGAACTTCTGGGTGGAACACGTGGTGCGCACGCGCGGCGCCCCGCACTTGCGTTCAGTGGCGCTACAAGTACCGCTGTACCAACAAGCATACCTAGATCTGTTAGCTGTAATACTGGCAGTTGCTGTTGTTATATTACTAGCAGTTAGGAAAATTATAAGTTTATTAACTGTGAAGAACATGAAATTGAAGAAGAATTAAATGTATTAGAACAAAAAATTGTAACCCCATGACGCTTTGCTGTAAGATTACAGAAAAGGGATTTAATTTATTTGTATTGCAATTAGTGTATTAAGTGATTTAAGTTGTTAGTATGATAAAATTATTTTTTCAATATTTTAAGTTTTGTTTCTGTTAATCCACTAGTCTCAAGATTTTGAAACGAAGATAGTACAATTTCTACAATTCTAGGCATGAAGATCTGGGTCTGTAAAAGTCAAAATAGAAATAGGGGAGTTCATACTGGAGTATCCACGGCAAATTACATGACACCTTACTGGCAAATTATTATTAAAACGACACTTGATTAATATTAGGTTGTGTAGTTTTTTATTTTGTGTATAACACCCTTCATAACTGGTTAAAAGTGGGTGAATGTATCCTCTGTGTTCCTATTCGGAGAAGAAGAATAGAAACCCATGAAGGGATTTCGGTAGTAACTCAATTCGAGCATATCAAATTAACATATAGGGAACTCTTAAAATCATGTTGAATATAACCGTATTACCGACCATATATTGAAGATAGAGGGAAGGTCTCAAAATCCTTACTATAATATTATAAATCTGAAAGTGAGTTTGTTTGTTTGTTTGTTTGTTCCACCTTCACGCCGTAACTACTCAACCGATTGCTTTGAATTTTTGCAGACGTAAAGTTAGAAGTCCGGATTAAATAATAGGGTACTTTTTAACCCGGAAAAATTGATATTCCCGAGGAAAAACAAAAGTATTGGTATAGATGGCGCTGTATGTATTGGTATATGTCACATAGGCTACTTTTTATACTTTTGTGATGCGAGCGAAGCCGCGGGTAAAAGCTAGTATTAAATAAGTCTTATTAGACAAAGTTAGTTTTGTCAAACGATTACTTTCTAAATGTTGAAGATCCCTAGCTCGATAACCATAGCTTATAGCGGCCGCAGATCATCCTATGATCCCTGACATTAGGAGCGTCTCATGCGTCTCATCTCACGTGGTTGGGGCATGAAGTAGTATGTGTCCCTCCACGCTCTGCTTTCTCCTTACCTAGCGCTGTTCCGCAGAAAGAGGAATCAGTTTTACAGCCGCCAATGTTGATCGTTTCCGTGAAGACATTGTGATACTCAGCCCAAGCCTGCCTCCACCGTGTCCGAGTGGTCCTTACTGGAGTTTTCTTCATCCGAATCCTTCTTCTGAAACTGCGGGTTCAGAAAGCACCTAAGTCAGGCGAAAAGTACCGATGCCGTGGCGACTCTCTAGCCACTCCTCGAAGAGGGGCCCCACTCTGAGTAAACACTCAGACCGGTACCGCTTCACTTCAGTATCCTAGGTTTTCCTATTACGATTATAATTATCTAATCTACGTAATTCTTTTGTAAAAGATATCATCAGAATGTTGGTTAACCAGTGATTAAGTGATTATTCATTGACTGAGCAATGTATCTTATATTGTTTAATATAAGATCTATCCATAAACTGCTGATATCACTGTTTTTCACGGAAGAAGTTTTGATAAAAATAACGATTAACAATAAATACAACACTAGCTGATGCCCACGGTTTCCTTCGTGTGACTTACGGATATTGTGAGTAATCAACGATATCCCTATTTTCACCTCAGCTCGTTTCTAAATATTTTAACTTCACTACATAGTATAAAACTATCCGCCGTCTGTCTGTCCCTATGTTTAGATCTTTAAAACTACGCAACGCATTTTGATGCTGTTTTTTTAATATCTAGAGTGATAGGAAGGTTTATAACATGCATATTGGACCCGGGCGAAACCGGGACGGGTCGCTAGTAAAATATATAACGCAAGTTATTGCCCTTAATGAGTAATTTTTTTAAATCTGGGCGACGCCGATGTAAGCAATCGGCGTCGCCCATCGTAATGGCACGGAGTCTGGAATTGTATGAATATGGCAATAGGCTCACCCTCTATTACGTGGGACTCATTATCTTACCTACTGCTTTAACTAAATATTTGCCCGTCTTATGTCGGAATACTGAAACGCTACTTAATTTTAAGTCGTGCTCAAATATCGTGCCATTTTGTACACAACCTGTAAAATGTTTTTCTACTAATTTTTGATTTATGTGGGATATGCTTTTTATAGTTTTTACTTTTTTATGGTAAACGAGCAGACGGATCACCTGATGGTAAGCAATTGGCATCGCCCATGGACACCTGTAACACCAGTGGCGTTACAAGTGCGTGCGAGGAATTGGGAATCTCTCCAACTCCTGAATCCCCAACGATCCTCAAACTCCTAATCTCTAAAAGGCCGGTAACGCACTTGTAATGCCTCTGGTGTTCCAGGTGTCCATGGACGACGCAGATTACTTATCATCAGGTAATCCGTCTGCTCGTTTACCGGTTTATGCAATAAAAAAACACATATAAAATTAATCGTTGCAGACTTAATCGAATGCGACAAAGTAATTTTACATGACAGATGTATACGTAAACGTGTGTATATGTGAATAATCCTGCATCTATTCGGAGACCAAATAACGTATTGATTATTATTATAATTACCTAATCAATGTTAATTATTTGTCACAGTGATTAAGCATTTTTTAATTGAGACAGCTACGTATCTTATTATGCTTTATATAAGATCCATACATTAATTGCTAAGTCACTGTTTTCACAAACACGCTCTAATGAAGATAACAAGCTACAATAAATAGTTGTACAGTAGCCGAAGTTTTAAAATTCGTTAGTTGACTGATAACGTTGCATGGTGTCAGTCGATCACTCAGTGGCAGTATCAAGTACGCGACGCACAAACTTAAAAATAATAAAGGTTAAATAAGGTTAAAGTAACCAAAAAAATTTTCTCAGCTCAAAAAGTTTTTCGAAAATGGAAAAACTTAGATGTCTTTTGTTTTGTGTGGTAGTAAGTTTGTGTTCATGTGATGCTTATAAAATTTTGGCCGTGTTTCCTACGCCCAGTCCCAGTCATGGCATTCTTGGAGACAATATGGTCAAACATCTTCTCAATGCTGGCCACGAAGTAAGTACATCTAACTATTTAAAAAAATATTTTTCATTAATTATTGGTCAATTCCAACCGGCCCACCGGAAAGTCATTAGGAAAGGCCTATTTCAGTAGTGAATGTTTTAGGGCTAATAATATTAATACATATACATAGAATAATATAGCATAGCAATCATCAGATAATGATTATTGCTATGCTGTTTATAGACTTATCATTCTGTCACATGGAACGTTTGACCAATTTTAGGTAATTGCACACCTTAACAAGCATGATTCCGGAAACCTGAAACCTTTTGTATGTTTCTTTTTGATCATTTGTAAGGGGGCATTCACAAATTAGGATAAAACAGGATAAGGTATCAATTCAGCCTAATCTTACCGCAATACATTCAAATAAATAAAAGGTCAAAATCTCTCTCTTTAGAGAAGGTTTATCAGGTGACTCAGTTGGTGCATAGTTAAGTCACCAGTTTTTCGCCTGATGCCGATTCGGAGTCGCGGCTCTCCGCGGCGCTCCGGCTCGAAGCGCAAGAGAAGGAACGGGGAGGTTTTTAGTCAGTAAGAGTCTGACACTCCCTCCCACCTCACCCAGGCGGGAGCAGTCATTCAATGATTTGCCCCCCTTAACTCGTCGAGTACCGTATTTATAGACACAATTAAAGAACAATAGGTTGCGGTCACCGGTGACCGCTTGGTGTTTGACAGTTTAAAAAAAATCTCGCCTGGTGGCAAGAGATGATGCGATCTACGATGGAGCACGTCGTCCCATAAGCAATCTTTTCACTCGGACTGGCAATTATTCTTTAATTAACCACGTTTAGAACGTCAATTGAATTGTCTGTTTGTCAGTGAAGCTAGTTGCTAGTTGCACAGTTTTAGGAATCACACTCAGCATACTTTATAGTGAGTATTTTTGTTGAGTAGGTATAATTTACGAATTCGTTTCTTATCAGACGAGTTTTAAATAAGAATTATCTTTAGGCATTAATATGCCTGTTTACGTAATTTTTTTATCTTGTATGTAGTAGTACTTATAATTAAATCTTGATTTAATTGATTATTTTGTAAAACGTAAAGTTTAGTGAGCTTGAACAAAACACTTTGTTTTATTTATCAGGGACAACAAACAGACAATTTATATTATCACTTTATCAGTCTTAGCAAATAGGTTCCAACATTGGTCATAAGTGCGATATTGTATTGCACAACTCCATTGAGAAGTAGTATGTTTTTTATATTAGATTTGACTGACGTTTGACCACTATCTCGCCTGGTGGTAAGCGATGATGAGGCCTACGAGTACGTCGACCCATAAGCAACCTATTCACTCAGGCCTTGATACCCTTCAGGAAATACAGACTCTGTACATATTTGATGTTGATACTTACCATCTTTTTCAGGTAACTTATGTAACGCCTTACATTCAAAAACAAAAGAATCAGACCAACCTATATTTAGTGGACGTTAATGACATCGAAACATTTTTCAAAGGTAAGTAACTGGTCACAAATATTTTAAACTAGCTAATCAGTTTTCACGCGCAGGTTCACCCGCTCTGCTCGTCGCCTATTGATCGTAGCGTGATACCTATAGCCTCCCTAGATAAATGGTTTATACAATACAACAAGATTTTTTCAAAACGAACCAGTAGTTCCTGAGATTAGCGCGTTCAACAAACAAACAAACTCTTCAGCTTTATAGAGGTATAATAGTTTAAGATTATTATCAAAGAGATTTATATCCAGATATAAATAGAAGTAGAAGATGATGATCATAAAATTGTTTAATAATCTTTATTAATTGGCCGCAAGCTCGGAGTTAATTTCGAGGACTGTGACATCGTCAGCGCGGAGCGCATCGGCGGGAGGCAGCTCAACGTAACAAGCTCGGCGGGTCCGACCGAGCCTCGTCCGCGACCGCTTGTCGTGCGCCTTGCTCGCAGGGACTTGCGTGATAAGCTTCTGACGGGCGCGCGAGTTCGGCGCGGTGCGACAACTGACGACTTAGACATGCCCGGCCCAGTGCAGCGCTTCTTCGTGAATGAACGGTTGACAAAAGTCAACCGGCAGTTATTTCGGAGGGCGCGGGATGCCGCTAGCCTCTTCAAGTGGAGGTTTGTCTGGACCAAGCAGGGCCGCATCTTCGCTAGGAGGGAGCCTGGAGACAAGGCGCAGAGGATCCGCACGGAGGAAGATTTCTCCAGAATCTTCGGTACTGCAATCGAAATGGCCTAAATACAGTTTCTGTTGTGTGGATCACTGTTTTAATGTTTTATTTTTTAGAAATGGACAACATTTGTACTTCTCCTGCATACCATCCTTTTACTTATTCTATTCTTTTGACATATGCCTTAATATTTCACGTACATATTATTATTACATTTCTAGAAATGTTACTTGTGGGGAGTATTTTTGGACTGTACTATTTATTATGCCCTTCATATTTATCATTATATACTCTACATATTTTATACACTCCATTATATATGACATGCCTTTTGTATGTATTATTATATATTATATGCTATGCTTTTCGTAGGGGTCTGTACACAGCACGTTCCACTACTGCGCTGGCCACTTGTACAACCTCCCGGCGGCTCGGGGATCGCAGGCTGCGAAGTTCGTCCACCACCCTCCGCCACACCTCTCCATAGCATCAATGAGTCGTGGTAAATGCATCAAGTTTGGTCTTCTGAATGCGGGCTCTCTGGGGACAAATCAGGATGAATTCCTAATCGCCATGAGCAACCACTCGGTGGATATCATGGCCATCAACGAAACCTGGCTACGTAAAGGGGAGGAGGACCGTGCTCCTAGTATAAGTGGGTACAAGTTCAGACACATACCGAGACCGGCGACTACGCGGGGTGGCCGTGGCGGGGGGGTTGCCTTCTACATAAAAGACAGCATTAACGCGCGTGTGAGAGCTCATCCCGAACACCCTACCGTTGAGCAACTTTGGCTTGGCTTAACCGTAAACGGGAGGAAGGTTTTGATTGGGACCGCGTACCGCCCACCTTGGCAAGACTTGGAACTTTTCCTTGATGCCGTAACTGCTAGCGTGAGTGGTCTGGCCCCCTACGATAACCTTGTGCTGTTGGGCGATCTGAATGTTAATCTGCTGGATACAAACACCTTAAAATACAAACAGCTTACAGAATTTTTTGAATACATGGGTGTTGTTCAGTTGGTTGACACAGCCACACACTTCGTGGGTGATAGCAGCTCACTCATTGACATCGTGTGTACTGACGCTGATACTCGCGGCGTTAAGGTGAATCACATTAGTGAGCTTGGCCATCACTCCTTCATTACGTGCGAAACTGTTTTTGCGAAGCCAAAAGTTAGGCCCAGGATGGTCAGTTTTCGCTCCCTTTCGGACATATTGCCGAATTTCTTTCAAAGTGACCTGGGTATGGTTCCTTGGTCCGAAATAAAGGATTTGGGTGATGTAGATGCAATGGTGCATGACTTCAGCCTACACATGATCCAGCTATATGATCTACATGCCCCCATTAAGAAAAGAACCTATCATAGACGGCCTACACCATGGATCACCGAGAATATTAGGCGGATGTTTAGGTTGAGGGATGAAGCCAGGGTAAGATGTCGCAGAACCAAGGACATACATCATAAAAAATTCTACCTGGATCTCAAGCGTGAGTCTGCCGCCGCATTAGCGAGAGAAAAAACGGCATACTTTAAAAAAAACGTAAACGACCACATTAGTGATCCTAAACGGTTGTGGAAGAACCTCAAGTGCGATGTACTTCCAGATCATACAGATAGGATATTACCGGCTCATTTCGACAATCCGGATAGCATCAATCGTGCATTTTTGGATGTCCCGGGAAATGACAGTGATAACATTTTACAGATAGCTAGCTTTGGTACCCGTAGATACAGCTCAGCTCAATTCTCACTGTCTACAACCAACCAAGAGGCAGTCCTACGGATAATCAGGAGTCTGGGGTCGAATGCGCAGGGAGTCGATGGCATCAGTCTGGACATGATAACTCTCACATTGCCTAACACCTTGCAAGCCATCACTGACATCATCAATAGATCCATAGAGTCGCGTACATTCCCCAGTCTCTGGCGTCGTGCCATAGTGCGCCCAATACCCAAGATGAGTGACCCAACCAGTATAAAAGATCTCAGACCTATAAGTATCCTGCCCTGTCTGTCGAAGATTTTGGAGCGTGTGGTATATCAGCAAGTCATTGAATACCTGGAGTTCAATAACATTCTCCCTGACCTTCAGTCGGGGTTCCGTAGGGGTAGAGGTACTGCTACTGCTCTCATAGATGTGGTGGGTAACATCTTGGAGGCACGTGATAGGGGGGAGGGCGCTATACTTGTGCTTTTGGATTTTTCGCGAGCTTTCGACGCCATTAACACCAATCTACTTCTGTCTAAGCTGGTATACTATGGCTTTGATCAGGGTGCTGTCCTCTGGTTTAAAAGCTACTTAACCAACAGATCTCAGTATGTGGAGATTCAGACCAGGGACGGATTATCCATGTCTTCGGCTACGCTTCCTGTGTCTAGGGGAGTCCCACAGGGATCCATACTCGGGCCTTTGCTGTACATCCTCTACAGTGCTGATGTTGCTGGGTCCTTTCTCAATTGCAGATACCATATGTACGCAGATGATATCCAGCTGTACACAACCTTCAAAGGACCTGACACAGCGGTAGCGGTGCGGAGGTTGAATGAGGATCTTGAGAGGGTGGTGAGCTGGTCTGGGAACAATTCTCTGGTCCTAAACCCGTTAAAGTCCAAATTCATGGTGCTGGGTACCAAGAAACAAGTTGCGGCTATACTCTCAGCCCATCCAGTCATTACAATCATGGGGCAGAAGATAGAGCGTGTTGTACAAGCTTGCAATTTGGGCTTGATTTTGGACCCGGAATTGCGCTTTGAGGCTCACATAAAAAAAGTTGCAAAGAATTGCTTTTACAGATTAAAGGTATTGTATGGCATAAGAAACTATCTAAGTATTCCGTTAAGAAAGCAGTTGGTGGATAGTCTGATTCTGTCTGGGCTCAATTATTGTGACGTTGTCTATGGCCCATGCCTGCTTTCTAGAACGGATAGACTGATTCAGCGCATTCAGAATGCCTGTATTCGTTTTTGTGTACAGGTACCACGCAGACAACATATCACACCACACATAAATCGGCTGGGGGTACTGAAGATGGCTGCCAGGCGTACGTTGCACTTGGCGGGCCTGATGTTCGGTGTAGTGGCGACTCATAAGCCACAGTACTTGTATGAGAAACTAACCTGGCGGCGTACTCAGTATGAGTCCGGTCTCCGTTCCATGGTTGACCCTCTCAAGATACCGCAGCACAGGACTGCAGCTTTTAGGGGCAGCTTTAGGTTTGCTGCGACTCGCTGCTGGAATGATCTCCCTCCGCCGTTGAGGGACCTAAGGACAGCGCAATCTTTTAAATACCAACTGAAAAAAATGTTACTGCATAAGCAGCTGGCTCTCCAATAACCTTGTACCAGTAACTGTTTTTTGTCAAGCTTTTATTTTAACTTAAAGTGTGTGTGTATATCTATGGCTTGTTCTGGGGGAAAGTTTTTTATTTATATAATTATAATATCTTTGTATTTTATTTATTTTATTTTATTTTTATTTGCTTTTATTACACTTATTCAACACATAACCACACACTAACACTAATAAACAAGAAAAATTGTTTGTTATGATTGTTTTGAATGTAGAGTTACACTTGTTGTCTCCTTACCTTTTCTGTTTTCGCCAATAGTACTGCATAATCTTGTTCGCGTTCCACTCACAATAAACATGATAATATCGACAACATTATGCACAACTGGGTTGTTTTGTTTCCGTAATCTGAGCACCATTCATTACCACATGCACTTGTTTATCTATTTGATTTGTCCAGCCGCGTCTGGATTGCGTCATATTGTCAATGTCATTGAGGCAAATGTCAAAGTAAAGATACTCACTGTCTATGGTGATGCGCCCAACATAATTGTTTTTGAATGTAACTATATTTATTTTCAATATGTGCTATTGTTATTAGTATGTATGTGTAATGTAATGTTGTACTTGTTATTATTTTTATTATTTTTTTTTTATCCATCTGTTTAAATTTTTGGCAGTAACCGTAGCTGTTGATTTTGTTCTCACTTTTAAATTAATTTACTATATTATACATCATGCTGTACTCCGAGCAGCGTTAATATAGATGTTTAGCTAGTACGTCTTATAACGGGCTGGTGCTGAAAATCAGCGCCGTGGGCTCGAGCCTCAGTGCCCGGTCCACGGTATTAAGCTGAGCTCCAGCCTTTTGCGCTGCGACGCACTATGGGCTCTTTTTCGGTGTTTCTAAATTTTTGTTGTGTGTCGTAGCAAAATAAATGGTTTTTCTTTCTTTCTTTTCTTTCTTTCTAATAATGATAAAATTAGCAAAATAAAAAAATGAATCTTAATAAACGATGTAGACTTTATAATGTTAGATGCCTGAACTAGGAAAGCCCTGTATCACAGGTGTAAGTAACTTTAACATTGTGTACTAATTTAGGACATCTTACCTCTATTTCTATAAACCAAGTGTTTATCATGACTTAATAGATAAGTTTAAAATTTTCCTGATCATAAGTTTACTGAATGATGGTCATGATCATTATGCGATGTTTTAAGACATTTTGGAAAAAACATTATGGGATATTGATAATTAAAGATAAAGTTTTAGAGGAGGAGGAGTTTGAACAATTGCTCGTGGTATTGCAATAAGTTTACCTTCTAATACATCATACCTTTGAAGAGTAATGAAAAGATAAATATGACATATATTTCAACAGCCGCAGAAGATATGCTGGATTTCAAGCAGATTCTTGCCGGAACAGTAGATCTGCATGATATTAAATTCATGTTTCAACTTCTATCGACAATTGCTGACATGACACTGGGCAATCCAAATGTGCAGAAAATTATGAGAGACCCACAGGAGAAGTTTGACGTCATTATTGTTGAATACATGTTCCATGATTTGTTTTCCACGTAAGTTAGTTAAATTCTTATTACCATGAATTGGGATACATTCAAACCTATACAGATAGTCTTGTATGGATGGATAATGAACACAATTAATTTGCTTGGTAAGATTTTTGGTAGAAATTTCGTAATCAAGATCAAATTTATTTTTTTAGGTTTTCAGCAGTATTCCAGTGCCCTTACATCTGGTTCTCCACCATAGAACCAAATTGGATAATTATGAACCTAGTCAGCGGTCCTATGAATCCAGCCTATAATAGCGACTACCTTCAAGCTCAAGTTCCTCCATTCACCTTTATGGGAAGAGTTCAAGAGCTGTGGACCCAAATTAAAGGATTATATTATCATAAATTGTGAGTATCGCTTTGTGCTAACTGATTGATTTGTAGATTAAAGATCATCACCATATCATCATATTACAAACTTATAATTAGAAATTATAAGCCCAGGTTTCCTCATGATGTTTTTCTTCACCGTTTTTCTGGAGTGTCTAGATAATCTTAGAAAGCATGTAGCTCGGAAAAAGTCACATTAATACTTGCCGTTGGTAGGTTTCGAACTCTCACCCTCATGCATGAGAAGCGAGCGTCTTAAAACTCCGGGCCACCACGAGATTAAAGATGTTCATGTGACATTTTATATTGAAAGGGGCACATTAAATAACCAAAATAATAGATCAATCAAACTGTCACAAAAAATTGGGACTAAACCCTAGTTATTAATAAAATAATATTTTTTTGGATTCAGTGACTTCCATGATGTAGAAGAAGCTATATACCAAAAGCAAATAGTCCCTATCCTAAAGGAGCAAGGTAAACCTGTACCTGATTATAATGTGCTGAAGTATAATGCATCTTTACTGCTGGGCAACTCTCAAGTGGCGATGGGTAACGCAGTGCCACTGCCACCAAGCTACAAACACATTGGCGGGTACCACATTGATGAAGAAGTCAAGCCATTACCAGAGGTAAGTAATTAAGCTAATCCTTCTTGAGGTTCGTCTTTGTGTGTGTTACTTACTTTATCATAATTAGTATAAAATGTTAAGTCAGACTTACTATTCTTTGTGAATAATATGTCAATGATTGAAGTATTTTGAAGCCTTGCCGTGATTATAAAGAACGACTGTCGATGATCAGTGATTATTACATCATAAGTCTAAGCTTAAAGCCACTATCAGAAATTATGGATCTGCTGAATAGATAAGATCATAAAATTTTAATCGGTTTTATTATACCTACATACTACATTAGTGTTTAAATAGTCATGCTGAATAATAGAATTTCTCATAAGGCATTTAAATACATTTATTTTACCATTTTAACAATTTATTTACCATGGACACAATCAAAATCATTGGGATTTTCAACCAATTTTCAACATAACTGAAATCTTAATCAGTCGTACGTTTCCTAGGACTTGAAAAAAATTCTGGACAATGCCAAGAACGGTGTGATTTACTTCAGCATGGGATCCAATTTGAAGAGCAAGGAGTTACCAGACGAACTGAAGAACGGTTTGTTGGAGGTGTTTGGAGGACTGAAGCAAACTGTTTTGTGGAAGTTTGAGGAGAATCTACCGAATCAGCCTAAAAATGTCCATATCGTACAGTGGGCACCACAGCAGAGCATATTGGGTAGGCCTTGCTAAATACGTTTGTGACAAAAGTTTTGCTAACACTGCTCTGTGATGTAAAATTTTGATTCGTTTTCCAGCCCATCCAAATTTGAAGCTGTTTGTTACTCACGGTGGTCTCCTATCACTTACCGAAGCGGTCCACTTCGGAGTTCCAGTTATTGCCATTCCAGTCTTCGCAGACCAGTTCCTAAATGCAAACCAAGCACGGAACAAGGGATTTGGAGAAAGAGTTGACCTTTCTTACCATTTGCATAAGGACCTAAAGGTCACTCTGGATAAAGTTCTTGGTGATCTTCCCAAGTAAGTAGAATTTAGATATCAAAAAACTTCTTTTCTTAGCTTTTAGACTCACTAAATCTTTTCGTAGTGGTTTAGTTTTAAGAGTAGTTGCTAAGGAGGTTTTTATATTCCCAGATACACTGCCAAAGCAAAGGAGGTATCTATAGCATACCATGACAGTCCGATGAAGCCGAGCGAAGCGTTGAACTTCTGGGTGGAGCACGTGGTGCGCACGCGCGGCGCTCCACACTTGCGCTCAGTGGCGCTTCAAGTGCCGCTGTACCAACAGGCGTACCTAGATCTGTTAGCTGTGCTACTGGCAACTATTGTTGTTATAATACTAGTAGTTAGGAGGATTTTAAGTTTACTGACGTCGAATAGTCCGAAACTTAAGAAGAATTAAATGAATAAGAAGAAAAAGTAATAGCCATAATTATTGTAACGCTTGTACTGTTAGATGAGAGAAAATGGACATTATTTATTGTTTTGTTTAAGTTATTTTATTATAAGTTGTTATTAATAAAAATAATTAAACAATAATTGATATTTTTATTTATGTGTGAAGATCAAGACAATGTACAGACAGTGAAGATAGGCCTTAATCTAGGAGGATTCAAGTCGCCGCGCTGATTGATCCCGGGGGTCGTAAACAAAGGTAAAATAGGCAAATCTTGAAAGAATTCGCTACAGAGTAGTGTAGGTATTGATATACGTATACTACTCTTCTTAATTCTTGGATGATGACATATACCCACAATAACTTGTTAATGATCCACGTATGTACATACCTGGCTCCAATTATCAAAATTTTTTAGTGGTATTTTTTTTAATCCTGTGCCTATTATTCACATCTCAGTCGTCTATGACAAAGTACAACTTTAAACTAAGAACATAATTTTACACTTTAAAATATTTTTTTTACTTTCAAATACCTATCCTACATCAAATAGTGACAGCAGAGCAATAGGTAAGCGTTTCATAAAAAGACTAAGTGAAAGAACTTTATTTTTTTAGGTTCGTTTTTAAGTTGTTAGAATTGGTGGATCGTGACAGAGAATACCTACACATTAATACGGGCAATAATCTTATCATCCTACCCACTTCAATTCAGAGTTTAAACTGAGATGTTATTTATACTATAGAAAGTGTATCTACTGCCACACACTGGATTCAATTCCTGACGCTTATACTGAGACCGAGAGTAAGGAAGAGGGTAATTTTCTTATTAAAATCCGTCTGAGGGATCGATGATAGGCATTGGGTGTGAACATAAGTGTTTTTTCAATCTACAAAAGGTATAAAAGAAAATCGTGCTAGTTACACTATTTATAACTCAAGAATGGTTAAATTATTTTGGCTGAAAATTGGTAGGGAGGTAGCTTAGAACCAGGAAACGGATGTAGGATACTTTTATCCAAGGATTTCGCAAATAATCTACGGGAACGGAAAAAAACGGGATTACGGACCAGTAATTCGATGATTTTCCCCCCTTAAAAAAACTCACTACAGCACTTGCCGCCACTGTACAATGAAACACCCACTTTTCATTATTTATGTTATGATTTCCATATGATCCCCTATCATATACCGGGTGAAGTCTCATGTAATAGGGGGTGAGCCTATTACCATAATATACCGGGCACAATTCCAGACTGCACGGCAGTCGCACTTGCGACCACTCGGCAAACGAGGCAGTACGAAATAAAAACGAAATAAAAAAATCTTAAATAGTTTTATTTATACTTAAATTAAGTACACAGTAATGATTTATGTACACATTAAACAGTCTTTTGCAGTTTCTTTTACTTAGTTATTCTTCTTTTGGCTTCCTGATTCCTTTTTCGACCTTACTGCTGCACAGATTTTTTTCAAGAGTACTCGTCCAGCCAGGAACAGGATGACGAGGACCGCGGCGAGGTCCAGGTACATCTTCTGGTAGAAGGGTACGTGCAGGGCGGGGGAGCGCAGGTGTGGCGCGCCGCGTGTGTTGATCACGTGGTTCACCCAGTGCACCAGCTCAACTCCTGGCTTCACTGGACGATCGTGGTGGATAAAGGACAATTCCTTCGCTTTCTCTGCGTATCTGTTAAATCAACACATTTTGTTAGCAATTTTAAAATAGTGTTCAACTTAGAAGAATTATAAAAAGTGAACCATGGAAGTTGTAACGCAGCCTCGAACTAGACTTATTTATGGCTCACGAATGAACGCAAGTATTAAAATTATTATTTTTCTTTTCATTGTCAAAAACTATTGGCCTATTAACGTCTTTCTTTTTAAATCTAGTACGAGTTCAGTTTTACGTTTAAAGTATTCGTAACGAGTACGCGTTCGGCGCTGTGATTGGTTGGTTCATTGGCGCCGGCCAATCACAGCGCCGAACGCGTACTCGTTTCGATTACTTTCAACGTAAAAGAAACTCGTACTAAGGCCTCTGATACACACCTTTTATTGCTGGTAACTTCGATTATAGCTTCCTTTAGTTCATCAGCCATAGTATAGGACAGGTCCACTCGTTGCGCGAAACCCTTGTTAACAGCTTTTACGACATTCAGAAATTGGTCAGCAAACACAGGTATACCAATAATTGGTATGCCGAAGTGGACAGATTCTGTTGTCGACAGAAGACCACCGTGGGTTACGAAGACGGCAAGATTGGGATGAGCTGCAAAAGAGCAATTATGATATTATAAATCTTCTGAACTCTAACAAGTCCTTTAATCATTGAACAGTCTACTTATAGGTCTCAAGAAGATGAAGGTTTACTTACAAAGAATTGCTTGTTGTGGTGCCCAATCCAGAATGTGAACATTTGAAGGGAGGTTATCCATTTTCTCTTCAAACTTCCACAGCACAGTCTGCTTCAGAGTTCCAAACATCTGCAAGAGACTCTTCTTGAGTTCCTCAGGCATATCTTTGCTCTTCAAATTGGAACCCATGCTGAAGTATACTACTCCATGCTTTGCGTTGTCCATAAGTTTCTTCAACTCCTGTAAATATTAGAAAGGGTATGATTAGCATAATTTTATAAATTTTGATCTAATTCCAAGTTAAGAAGAATTGAAAGTTTTATGTGACTAATTAGATTCTTATCCTCTTAAAAATAAAATCACTTAATGAAAACACTTTTTAGATATTTGATGAATAAATAAATAACATTATTACCGCAGACATGGGTTTGACCTCCTCATCAATATGGTACCCTCCAATGAACTTGTGGTTCTGTGGCAGAGCTACTGGAGAAGCTGTGGATATGTAGGCGTTTGACAGCAACAACGATGCATTGTATCTGGATTCGTCAAATGTTGGTGGTTTTCTGCCACGCTTCAAAATTAATGGATGGATCAGCTCGTTGAAAGTCCTTTCTTGGACGCCGTCCAACCATCTGAAATGGTGCAAAGAAGAATTTTATTTGGTTTTGTGTATCCGAATATTCAGTTCATCTTCTGTTAACGCTCAAGTTCTATTAAAAAGTCGAGTAGTACTTACACGTATTGCAAGAATTTGATTGTCACTTGAGTCCATAGTTCATTAGCCCTCTGCCAGAAGCTCAATGGTGGAGCGTATGTAGACATGAGGTCCACTGTGTATGCAGGGTTTGTTGGCTGGTCGACGAGCTGGAGGATCATCCAGTGTACTTCTACTGATGACAGCCAAATAAGCGGGCAATCGAATACTGACGCAAATCTGAAACCAAAAAACGAGTTGTTAAGAACTACAATTTTTGTTCCTCATGATCAAATTAAAAATGTAATTTGTCATTTTAGTCAAAGTACTTGAAAAACTCTAACCTAGTAAAGGCCTGCAAATGTGTAAAGAACATTAAATTAGCCACTCACCCAGCAGGAATTTCAGTAAACATCCATTCTGCGATGACAAGATCAAATTCTTCTTTAGGATCTGCGACGAGTTTGTTAACGCCTTCTAACTGTAGTGTATGCCTCATCATATTAATCGCCATGTACATTTTAAAAGCGATGCTGTGCAGGAACTTTGAAGTGTTCATTATTGTCTTGATGTTCATTATGTCCACTGAAATAGAAGAAAACAATTTATGATAAGTTGCGATAAAACATTACTATGACTCTTCTGTAGAGGTATTAAATATTTTTAGGTATTTTTTTTTAAACCGTTGCCCCACACTAGGGTTTTCTCCTGTGTCGTGGGTGCGTTAACAAACATACAAGTTCACGTACACAATGACACCCAGACCCGAAACAACAATTTGTGGATCACACAAAGAGTTGTTCCGTGCGGGAATCGAACCCGCGACACGTTGCACGGCAGCCGGTTGCCCAGCCACAGCACCAACCGTGCAATTGTATTGTAAGATTAATAAAATGCTAGTCTATTTGTAATCTTGTGGTTACCTATCACATTCAATCAAATTGGTAACGGTTTCAGTTCTGTCAGTTCGTTCAGACGAGTTTTTAGAAGAAAGAAGTCAAGGTGAATAGAATAGTTTACTTACTTGGCATGATCTCAAAGTTCTTACTAACATCAATTGTCCGGAGCGTGGGGGGAGCATTCTTGTAGGGGAATGGTGATATATACGTCACCTGGAAGAATATTATAGGTTAAAGTACTTTCTGTTGAGATAGAATTTGTTTTTGGTTTAATTTAGAGACAATAGAATAGTTTCCAGGGTAAGAAAATTATAAATCTAATTAGTCCGTCAGTTAGATAATGAAAAAAATATTAGACACGTATTTTTTTATTTGCTCATGTAAACTTACAATACTTACATAAAATGGAGTTAAGTTTAGGAGTGGGAGGTAGTTACGTCACAACGTGCTACATTTTGTAGCACGCTCAAATCAATATATCGTCGAAAGCATTAAATTTTGTGAGAAAAGAAAAAATGCGTGTCTAATATTTTAAAATAATCTACCAGACGGACATTAAAATAAAATTTAGGAAAGTACCCTATTGTAGTATGTTTAGATTAGACATATTTTTTAACGATTGTTTTTTTCTCAATATCTTTTTTTACAAAAAAGATAGACCAAGAGTTATGATATATGCAGAAATTACTGTTCATGTTAATAAACTAACGTCACATACGCCTGTTATAATTAATCGTGACAGATGGTAATTTATTTACTGACGTTTTAATAAATAGCCTTTTAATTACTAGTCACCTCGTGTCCAGCATTCAGCAGAAGCTTAACGATTCCATCACCAAGGTTTGCGTGACTCCTTGATGGTAAGGGGAACACCACAAGGATCTTGGAGGCCTCAGCACAGGCCAGCATGAGGCACACCGCCAACCAGTACATCTTCATTCTTTTCATATTCTGCAAATCATTCAATCATATTTCATTTGTATTGTTTTAAGTCTATTTCAAAAGATAGCCATATCTAGTGATAAACAAAACAGCCGAACTGATAAATATATTTCAATCTCTATTAACTTTGTCCGATTATATTATTATTGTTATGTAACTCCGTTGTTGAATACTGGCATCATGGTAAATTTACAGATTGAAGTATTTTATCAGTTCGGTTGTCTTGTATACTAGCTGTTGTCTGCTACTTCGTTCGCGTATTCTATGTCTCCTAGCAGAATTTGGGCATTGGAATTAGTCTTTAGGGTGAAAATGTCGTTACAATCGATTCAGTAACTATGTTATATTTATTGTGAAATAAATGTATTAACGTTTAACCCGTACAGTGCCCATCTCGTGAGTTGTCAGAAATTTAAACTATTTTCCGAATTGAAAATTATTGTTGTACTAAATTTCAATTAAACAGGTACATTGATTTAAAAAAATGAGAGTGCCGGAATTTAAACGCATAGTCCTCAGTCTCATGGGAATTTCGGATTAAAAGCACTCAAGCGTCCTTTCCAAACTATACGTTGTATCGAATTAAATTTAAATAAAGTTAGTGGTTTAAGAGATGAAGAGTCCCGAGATTTAGCACATAGTTCCTGTTATTTTGAGATTTCCAGGACTTTACTCTGGTACTAATAATGTGGGCTGGTTTATAACGGCGCGGCGCGACGTTACTATTGCACATTTGTAAATGATTTTTTTTTATTGTGGCATAACTGTAATAGTTATGCATCGCTATTATGGACTTTTACGTTGATATTAATGTCCTCTATTAGACTCTTGTCTAGTACATCACTTGGCTGTATTGTTCATCATAATTTCACAGCGTAAGCAATATTAGGAGTTTTGTTTAGTAATTTTTTCACATTGGGTTAACATTTTCTAAAGGAAACCGGCAAACCTTCATTTTTTTTTGGCTTAGACCGACTAAAATGAAATATTATGTTCTGTGGGTTCACGTTAAAATCTTATTAAATTTTATTTTTCTAATATTCAAGTTGTTTTTTATAGATGAAGCAATCATTTTTTTACTAACTTGAATTTTGAGAAATATGAGAAGTCAATACCAATTTATTATTTAGGAATAAAATTAACGTTGATACAATAATTATTATGACCTTTATCCTTCTAACAACATACTACGTCTCTATGAAGATACAGATATAATGTTTGTACATGTATCACATAACTATCCTTTTTGTATTTACAGTTTAAAAATTTATTCTAACATAAATAATACCTACTTACGCTTAAAAAGTCACAATTCAATTCACAAAAATACTCACCCCAATTTTAAAAGTATAAAACTATATTATTATTTAATTAACAAAACTTTTTTTTATAAAACTTGTAATTTGAATTTAGAATTCCACTTTTATAAGTTTCTTTTTTAATTTATAAGTCACTCAAAACTTATAGATGAATATTTATGCTTCTTTCTATAAAACACGTACGGCAGACGTGAGTGATAAACAACAATGAATGTGAAGCGGTGAAGTTTGGTGAGTTATATATATGTATTATAGGTGTCAAACTTTGGATTATATGACTCGCTAACACCTGATGAATAATGAAATATAAATAGTACGGTTGTATGTGATTCATACAATCATTGAATCAGGAGATAATGTAATAACAATATATTGTAAAGTTCTAAGTAATCTTATGAATTTTCTTAGCTGGTGTATATATTGATGGTGCGAATTACATTACATATTTTTTAAACTAGTCCGCATTTATCGTTACCAAAATTAGAATAATTTGTATTTGGGTTAATGAGTAATGTTTGAATTTAGTTATTTTATGACTTATTAATTTAATAAACATAATAAGTATAATAAAAGATTATGATAGATTGATTTACAGGTACTTCGTTTCTTTCAAGTATAGTATATCTTCAAAGGACCTTGTGCCTATAATGGCCTAACCATGAAACTTTGTCAGTGCCGGTTTTAGCACTACTAGAGCCCTGGGCAAGACTTCTTTGGGGCATTCTGAATTGCAGTTAGGGGAACTGCAATTCAAATAAGTACATGCGAAATAAGGCAATGAGTGTCTATGAAAAACAAAAATATCTATTTAATTAAAAACCTAATACAATTTTCTGTTCTACCATTTCTATCGGCGTACCTACTCTTTTATTAGGACATTCAAAGTTTATATTTTTTTTTCATTTTCAATTAACAATATTTAGTTCGATCTAGCCTTAGGTATGCATTATGCCTTATATTGTATCTAATGCCACGTTGCCTGGAATATTTCTCGGAATTGATGAAAATTGGTAAATTGTAAAATTAATTTGATTTTCATTTTGTAACCTCGTACGCTCGTTACTTGTGGAAAAATTGGCGGCCAAAATCTGATTTTTTACAATATCTCTTCGTCTGTGTATTTTACGACAAAAACATTTACTACAAAATTAAACTAGACATCATTTTCTACAATTAAAGTCACGATGGATTTTTGAAGAATAAGCAGTTTTGGCAGCAGAGCACCGCAAAGTACCTATATTTTTATGAGCATATTTCGAAGTTCTCCTTTCTTATATATAATAACTTCCACATCACGTAGAGGTAGAGCATTTTTTATATAGCGTAGTCCTTTATAGACGTAGCCTAATACTCATGTCATTATGATGTGCATTTTCGGAACTTGATATAATGCCAAACCGGTATATTCGATTTGTCATTTCAGCATAAAGCTTATAAAAATAATAAACACGATTACAATAACAACAGGAAAATGTATACGCAAATATCATTCACGTATTTTTTATCTAATCTAGTAGGTAGATTGAGATTGATGGACATTGGACAATAATAGTCTTTACTCTATATTCGTATGGACTTTGATCAGATAACAACTTTGAAACGATATTGTGGAGTATCGCCTGTACTGTCAATAGATCGCTTAGTGGTTTACGAAATCATTTACTTTTTACTATCTCGTATCATGGCTGCGTTTATAAACGTATAAGCGTATAAATTCATATACACATCATACTCAAACTCTGTACAACAATACGTGGACCCCACAAAGAATAGGGTAGATGCCTAATTTTTATTTGCATGTCCGTCTAGTAGATGATTTTAAATCATTAGACACGTATTTTTTATTTTCTTACAAAAACGAATACTTTCGACTATATATTGATTTGAAATGTCGCGTGACGTTACTTCTGTGTACATTTTATACCTCTACATAGAAATTACGTTTTAGCCCCCACTTCTAAACGTTGATTCGTTTTACCTAAGTGTTTTGATTTTTAATTTTTATTTAGATTGAACATTTTGTTCATTTTTGATCAAGATTTTTAAATAAAAATAAAAATTATGCATATGCACAGAGCGTAGAGCACAGTTCTGAGGATTTGCACCAGGAGAGGCAAGAGACTCCAACTTCAGACCTTGGCGCCCCTCAAAATTTACGTACGGACTAATTAGATTTTTAATTTTCATACCCTGTCATCATTCCAATTGTCCCATGAAAGAATCAAAATCACGACACATTGCACACCGAAGATTGAGATGAAGAGGCAACTGCCGGCTAGGCCGGTCACAACCGTTAGAGAACCGATGACCGTTGGGGTAGAAGTATTCTGGAGTAGAGACCGCGCGTTGTGTTTGATACACTCTATCGAGGTGGAGTGACGATATCTTCTAGGTGGCTTGTATATGTTGAATGAGACGAGCTGAAGATCGAAGCTTAATCGCGTGCTATTAAAGCATCTAGCAGTAAATAGAAACGGACTGAAAATGTTGAAGAACAGTTGTGTGCTGTTACAATTTGTTTCGCCCAACCCTAGGTACATTAGCATATTAATTTTATTATATACATCATGCTGCGCTCCGAACAGCGTTACCGTAGGTGTTTAACTAGTACGTACTATAAGGGGCTGGTGCTGAAAATCAGCGCCGTAGGCTCGAGCCTCTGTGCCCGGTCCACGGTATTAAGCTGAGGTCCAGCCTTTTGCGTTGCGACGCACCATAGGCTTTTTTTGTGTTTCTAAATTCTTGATGTGTGTCGTAGCAAAATAAATGGTTTTTCTTTCTTTCTTTCATACTATTCCACCCACTTCTTAAGAGTGTCATCTCACAGGGGTGATTATCACCTCAATCAATAAACTTACGGTCCTAGGGCGGTACCAATTGCTTACCATTAGATAATACGTCTGCTCGTATACTGATCCTCATCTCGTAAAACATCTCTTCGCCTAAACTTTGAACTTTTTGAATTTGGTGATAAAGTTTAAAATTAGTTTAAACCCTTAGCTTATATTACTTGCTATCATTTATCAGACGTTGAGATATATTCTCGACGGTATTTAAACTGCAGTACTACTCTTACCGTATTTGAGGATTTATGGTTGAGTGATAGTTCAGGCTCATTTACTTTTTCGTACGAGTATACCGGACACGCATGCGAAAAAAGACACATGACATGTTTGTTCCAAATTACCAAGCGTTAGTCAAGGAACGGAAACTCGGATTTATAATAAAAATAAAATTTATTTAATAAAATCGAGTTACAATGTTTGTTGAGCGAAGTCTGAGAACAGAATGAATTCTAATGGAAATTACAAATAATTATTGGTACAATAAGGGTGTCATATTACTTATTGCGAAAGAGGTAAACTAATGAGTAAGCACAAAATGTTCCAAGAGATTCTACACGTGTTTTATATAATGCTGACTTATATACCTACTAATTATGTTGCTAAGCTGAATTAGTGCTGACAAAGCATATATCTATAGGGTGGGCACCCTTAACTCCTCCCCCCTTAAGAGAGAAATCAGCTGGAGGCAAATCTTTTGGTTCCAGATGATTTCGACGTATCAGAAAATATTTTCTAAAAAACTTAAATTTTACAATTACAAATGCTAGGGCTGACAGAGTCATTATTACTACTATACTTATTGTCCATACACTTATGTCCTTTGTTATCACTATAACACTTT